CTCTAACAAATATCATAGAGGACGACCCTGCTTACAATGAACACGAACTGATTTTCCAGCAAGACGGAGCTCCTCCACATTACTCGCTCAATGTGCGCAATTACCTAAATGAGACGTTTCCAGGACGCTGGATAGGACGAAGAGGTGCAATTGAGTGGCCCCCTCGGTCACCCGACTTAAATCCTTTAGATTTCTTTCTCTGGGGGCACATTAAAAGCAAAGTTTACAGCACTCCACCTGATACCTTGGAAGATCTGCGAGGACGAATCATTAATGTATGTCGCGAAGTAACACCGCAAGTGCTCCAGAATGTTCGACAACGGTTTGAAGACAACCTGTATCATTGTATGCAAGTTGGCGGACAACATTTTCAGCATTTACCAGACTAATACCGTAAGTTTTGAAGTAAAATTAAATCGATTTTCGCATTTCTCGTCAAAAATATTGTTCGTATTTTCAAAGCTGCATATTTTCTAAAATAATGGATCGATTTTCAAAAAGTAAGAATCGATGTATAGAGAATTAAAAGTCCTTTCTAATGACCCCCAACTTGACCCCCATTCCCATTTAAAAAAATTTGGGGGATGAGATTTTGCTATGCTTTTTGCGCCAAAAGTTGTCCCCCTCAGAAGCAAACTTTACCTGTATTTGGATTTTGCCAAAAAGTTCATTACTACCCTGTAATGCCTTGCGGTACGTTTTCGATGGGCTACCCTGTATATCAGTGTATGTGGATTATTTGTTCAGAAGGTATTTGGAGATATAATTTTTTATTTTTAACTATGTATGCATCTCAAGAAATCAAGATGATTTAACAAAGTGACAATATTTTTACCTTCTCTTCGGATTCCTGAAGATTTGTGGTTAAAATCTGGGACATTCTGTATCTACTATTTTTAGTGTACAGAGTGATCCAGAATAATACGTCAGTTTTTAAAATGAAATATTGGCTAACACAAAACGGTTTTTACTAGTTTACATTAACGGTAGAAAATATTAACATAAGTTTATTAACATCCTGTGTAACGCACTAGATATGAAGCAGAAAATGTACTTACTATATCCCCAAATTGTAAGTAGTTATTCACAAAGCATAAAGTTTGCCACCAGTTCTGTTTGCATGCTTTTTGAGTCATATCCAAGCTATCAAAGGTAAGAGGCCCCTCAATTAATTTATACCAAGAAGTTTTCATAAAAAGTAACATTATAGTTGAACATACTCCAATCCTAAAATATATTTTAGTTTAAAAATCCTAACTCCAGGAATAAGCTTGTATTTTAACTATTCAGTTTAGTCAATCTAACTGACGCATATCATATACTTAAAATGACGTTCTGATTCGAATTTTATTTAAAATTGACGCTACACGAGGAAACATTACTGTTAAATCAATAACGGATCAATTAACCTCATAAAAGAAAGTGACAGTTCCGAAAGACAAGACCATGGTAACCATATGGGTTTGGGGTCGCTGAATCCAAATCCGGTGTCCGTTTGACACGATTAGCTATGGTTTAAGGTCAGTTCAAGGTCAAATGTAGAAAATCAATTGTCAACAAACTTAATCTACGTATCTATACGTTTTTGTGGTCGCCGAATCCGAATCCGGTGTCCGTTTGACTCGATCAGATCTGGTTTAAGTACAGTTCAAGGTCAAATATAGAGAATCAATTGCCAACAAACTAAATCTAAATTAGAACTCACGAAACAATGTTTTAAGTATATCAGAGATCAGTTCCCCAGTTTAAGTGATGCGATATTGAGGGAAGAGGTTTCTGATGGACCTTAGATCCGTAAGATGTTAAAGCATCACATTTTTGATAGTATAAATGAAAACAAGAAATTATGTTTTTTATGTTTTAAGGAACTAATCGGAAGTTTTTTATGAAATCAAAAGAGCCCAAACTGTAAAAAAATAGTATAGAATTTGGTAGTAATATTTAAAAACCTAGGTTGCTTAGTGAATCTAAAATTACATTTTCTACTTTCTTATTTGGATTATTTCTCAGAAAATTGGATCAAATAGACCCTGAATCCGGCGATCCCAAAAATGTATAGATATATTGATTTACTTTGTTGGCAATTGATTCTCTAGATTTGGCCTTGAACTCACCTTAACCCAGACTTAGTCGGGTCAAACGGACACCGCACTCGGATTCAGCGACCTCAAAAACCTATGGATGGATATATAGGTTTACATTGATGGCCATTGATTCTCTACATCTGACCTTCATCAGATCTTAACCCAGATTCTTATAGGGTCAACCGGACACACGATTTGAATACAGCGACCCTAAAAACATACAGATATGTAGGTTTACTTTGTTGGCAATTGATTGTCTACATTTGACCTTGAACTGGATACCATGGTCTTGTTTTTCGGAACTGCCATTTTTTTTGTGGGGCTGTGTAATTGATCATTCATAACTTGCTTTACCAGTGTATGAACACTTTAATTATAACATATAAAAGCATTTTGAGAATTTTGGGACCTTGGAGAGAAGGAGCAGCGAGTTGAAATATTTATTTAATAATAAAAGCTTTATATACAATTAATGAAATTACCGCGCAAGAAATATATAAGCGTAATTCTTACCTAAATAACCTTTTGATGATGATGTCAAGAGACTGTTTGATAGTGAAATGCCCATGATCTTCATAAATTTTGTATATTTGAAAAGTTGCAATAAAGGAAGATGTCAGGAAAAACGTCTGCACTAAGAAAACTGCTAAAACTACATAAATTTGCGCTGCGGTGGTACTGAGCAGCTAAAATATAGACAAAAAATAGTATATTCTTACTTTGATATAAAATTAAAATTCTGATTTTTACGTTTTTTGCTTATAAATTTCGACGACATCTATATTAAGATTGATGTATCTGCACAATTAATTATTACGGACTATTTAACTATAATAATTATATTTCTGAAATAATTATATATTTATATAGTTTTATGTATGAAAATAATGGCCGTAATTAATTAAAATTGGTACATTTTTCATTTTCTTAAAAATATCTAGAAAGCAGTAAAATGCAGATAGACTTTTTCATTTTCGATATCCTTTGATGGCATTTATTTAAAATATACTTACTTTTTCCATATCATTAGGATTTGAGTTGTAGAGTGTAGTACAACTAAATAATGTGTGCACACTTATAATTAGTAACATGTTGTAGAACCGAATTCCCTGGATTGACTTTAATTTCTTATAATCTTCATTTCCTTCGATATTACATACTTTTCTCCAATTTGAAATTAATGATAATGACATTAAAATCTTATTCTCTACAAAATAGTACGATTAAGGCTCGCTAGGGGTTGTCATGTAGATTTAAATAAATACTTTTTTTACCTTATTATCTAAATTGCTTATCACTGCACTCGGTCCATTTGACTGTAAATACTACTCTGACAAAAATCTCTCAATCGTAAACTACATTTAAAAGACAATTTTAAAAATATTTGTTGGTGATATATGTATAATATATTTTTTTTGATATTTTACGTCTGCTTATTTCTGTTACTACGGCTAAACGATGACGCCAGGAGATGAGCAACCCCAACCTGGAAGTTTTGCCGAACCCCCACTTTGTCGTACGGTAGCGATCTTTTCATTACCGAACATTGCTTATGATTTTTAATGAATTAAATATATTTGGTACATGTTTAAAAAACTTACCGGTATTTCTGCCTGAACATGTTCTCCTCTGTTTATCGTATACTGTAGCGTATAAAATTAAGAACAGATATGTTACTAAGGAAAACCTAAAAAAATCAGTTGAAGCATTAGTAAAATATAAAAATTTAAATATGTAGGTATGAGTTTTGTTTTAATTTTATAATTAAGTTACTTTGAAAACATCAAATAATAAAATTTTCAATTACAAAAATTCACGTAAAAAACTTACAGTAGCAAGTCATCATACAACTCAAATATTTGAACTTCCTCTGCGGTACAAATAACCTCTTCTATTAGAGCAAATAAATTAGTTTCTTTAATTTCTTCATTTATATGTAATTCAGCAAACTTTTTAACCGATTGCAAATCAAGAGCTTCCTGCTTTGGGACACATATGGCCCTATGAATAACGCTCCGATCATAGCTGTATTTGTCATTAACAGAATCCTAGAATTTACATATTTTAGCATTTTTGTAGTTTTTATTAACTTTAAATGTATCTGTCGTAATTTACATTAATCAAGTTCCATAGATAGTTGTTTTCATATCCTTTGTTCTTTAACTTTGCATCTATTTTGCAATATGAATGATTATTCTTTAAACACTCCGTGTAATCGTCCATTTTGAATANGACGCCAGGAGATGAGCAACCCCAACCTGGAAGTTTTGCCGAACCCCCACTTTGTCGTACGGTAGCGATCTTTTCATTACCGAACATTGCTTATGATTTTTAATGAATTAAATATATTTGGTACATGTTTAAAAAACTTACCGGTATTTGTACCTGAACATGTTCTCCTCTGTTTATCGTATACTGTAGCGTATAAAATTAAGAACAGATATGTTACTAAGGAAAACCTAAAAAAATCAGTTGAAGCTTTAGTAAAATATAAAAATTTAAATATGTAGGTATGAGTTTTGTTTTAATTTTATAATTAAGTTACTTTGAAAACATCAAATAATAAAATTTTCATTTACAAAAATTCACGTAAAAAACTTACAGTAGCAAGTCATCATACAACTCAAATATTTGAACTTCCTCCTTTGCGGTGCAAATAACCTCTTCTATTAGAGCAAATAAATTAGTTTCTTTAATTTCTTCATTTATATGTAATTCAGCAAACTTTTTAACCGATTGCAAATCAAGAGCTTCCTGCTTTGGGACGCATATGGCCCTATGAATAACGCTCCGATCATAGCTGTATTTGTCATTAACAGAATCCTAGAATTTATATATTTTAGCATTTTTGTAGTTTTTATTAACTTTAAATGTATCTGTCGTAATTTACATTAATCAAGTTCCATAGATAGTTGTTTTCATATCCTTTGTTCTTTAACTTTGCATCTATTTTGCAATATGAATGATTATTCTTTAAACACTCCGTGTAATCATCCATTTTGAATAAAGGCGGCAATATTTTATATTTATCTGAAATATATAAAACAGTGACACACATTTTATAAGCAAATTGTTTTCAGTAACTTTTGAGGTAAATACAGACCGACTAATAAAAAGTTGGAGCCGGCAATTGATGAATCTACCATTTATCAACAAATTGTTGGAGCATGAACGAGAAATCCTTTCGAATTTTAGATGACGCTAGCAGTACTAGCCTCAAAGCTCACACTTATGTGACTTCACACCACTGATTTCTAAAGGTATTTTAAAGAAACAAGAACAGGGTAATTTTAATAATTTGTGGGAGAACTCGAAAATGATCTTTATAATCCCGGTTTTAAGGGTCACATAAACATGGAAATTTCTTGACACTATAAAAATATTGCTGTGTTGTCTTCTTCCGTTGTAAAAATAAAACTGGACTTAAATGACTGGTATCTAAGACTGTACAGTCAACGTACAGGCAAAACCATTTTTCTGATTCAAAACCTACGACGATAAAAACTCTGAAATTTCATACTTTTCAGTCAAAAGTCAAAAAAGTCAAAGCATAAAAAAGTTATGGTAAATTTTACACCCTCCCCCCAGTTTAGGAACGTATATGATGAAAAATTGTAAAATTCGTTTTTGTAACAGACTGAGCACGTAAGAGTTAAGGTATTTACACCAAATTTCATAAATTTATCTCAACTGGTTTCGGAGTTATTTAGAAAAAACCATCATCAGAGTGGCTCCTTTAAGTGACTATAACTTCCTTAGGAAGAATTTTTGGACCCACGTTTATATAAAGAACAAGTAATCTTTTTCGACATAGAACACACTGTAGAAATATTGCCCCCTAATTTCGGGACACCCTGAATTATACTTCTAAAATATTATGCATTTATCTTTGACATACTTTTATGTTATCTTATCATCTTATTGTTATTAATTAAAATTTTCAAATAATAAAAATATCTTCGGCTTCGGCCGAAGGTGACCCATAAACCGAAGTTCGGCTTCGGCTTCGGCCAAAGAAATCACATTCGGTCGGTCTCTACCGCGAAGTCACCGCGAAGTAAAATAGGATGTGAAATAACCGTGTTCGTGAAGCGTATAGTGCATACGTTCATAAAATAATAACATGACATATAAAAAGTAACATCTAAAAAGTGACACTGAATCAAAGATTTTTAATATACGAAAAACTTAAAAAGTTAAATTTTTTGGCCTTGCTATATGAGTAAATATTATTGAAATTGAAACTAGCCTTAGCAGCTGCTTTATCGAGTCATTTTCCTTAAGATAGTCCGTAAAATAACAATAAAGGGACAATGATTATGAGTTAATTACAAGCTTTCCTGTAATAATAAATCAGTAGATGTCATGTTAAAGTCTGATACGAGGTATTTTAATTTTCTTATTACCCACAGTTTGAAGGCTTACTTGTTTTCCTTACACCTTTCATTCTCATTAAAAAATTTTTTTGAAAAAAAGCGTATATGTGCCTGTTAAAACTGTTCTATAATTTCTTCCAACTTGGCTTACAAAATAAAATGGTGTTTTTAGCACTTGTACTAGAAATTACTTATTTCGTAAACGTTAAGTGTCTGATGAATGAAGTTTTAAGGCGCTGTCCTTTCAAAATGAAACGATTTCGAATCATAATTGTTTATGTGTGCAGTATAGTCTGGAGAATTGCAAATTAATTTATGGAATTTCTTACCTGCGGTTACGACTGACAATCGTAAGATAACTATAAATGTAACCAATATTATATTCATTATGATATGAATAGTAGATATATGCACCTCGAAACCTAGAACAATTGGAAAGAGCAAAATAAAAATGAGCACAACATAAAAAGAGAGACTGCTGTCTATAATCAAAACCTGAGTTGTCTATTTATTTGTCTGTATGTTTGGTAATAAACACTTTGATGTTATATTGTTTCATTCGAATTAAATATTTCCCAGTCTCCTCTTTCGTTCTATTCAAAAATACAGATCGATTCGAATACAATTTCTTTCCACTTCTAACTGTCAATTCAAATAAATTTAACTCGATAATTAGAATGTTCCGATTCAAGTTAGTTCGATTCGAATTAATCAGCCATTCTATACTTCGATTTGATTTTTTCGATGGATCGATTCAAGAATACAAATCAATTCGAATCGATATATAGATTTATTGCACAGGATTAATCGATACGAACCAATTTTTTTTGAGGAATCGAAAATCGATCCGTTATTTCGCGAATTGCACATGCCTACTCTTTACTGAGTACTATTGTGGTGTCATCAAATAATAGTTGGGGCATGTAGCCCATAGAGAGTAGCAATCTTGACTGTGAGGTTCGATGTCCTTTGTATACATAGATTTCTAGTATCGGAGAATATTGTTTGACTTCATTTGATATTATTTGTTTGAATTAGGTTAATACCTTAATAAAGAGTAAAAGCATGTGAGAGGAAATAGTAAAATATATGTATTTATGACAGAAACTTTGCATAAATATATCTGAAAAAGTAAACGATTTGAGTTATTTAAATTAACCTTCAACAGTTTATTAGTAATTAAAGAACATGTTAATTATTATAATTCTTATTCATTTATTACAAGTCGTTTTCTCGTTTTTGCGTAAATCATTAGGAAACGTAAAATAGAAATAATATTTTTTCAATAAGAAATCAATGTCTATTATGAATAACAATTAAAAGGATATATGGAAACCATTAAAACTGTAGAAAATATATATTTTATTTTCCATTTATTAGATATTTTGTTCAGTTTTTTCCATCTACTTATACATTTTTCCTTTAAATTGGAATAAAAAGAAATCTGAACAAGTGGTATTATACTGCAAGTTTAAATTTCGATGATTATACTATTATATATTATTATTATATCATATAAACTGAGCACATGTAGTACATAATAAAAGTATAGATTCCTAGATCTGGGCTAGGCCCGGAACATTTTCAAAATTGCAAAAATGTTTTTTACTTACTTCTTGGAACCAAGGTGTCCGCCGGGAAGGTATACAACTTTGTTTGTTTATAATTTTTGATTAAATAAAAGAGAATGGATCTTATATTGATAAATGTTTTATTTAATGTCGGCAATTATGTATGGAATACAATATCAGATAAATGTCCGCCTCTGTTAGCCTCACAAATGCGAGCCCTTTTGAGCACATTTTTCATTACATTCTCACACATTTCACGCGGTATTTCATTTATTTCATCACGAATATTTTGTTTGAGTCAAATCAGGCGACCGTGGAGGCCAATCAACATCACCATTTCTTGAAATAACTTATTGTGGAAAGAGGTCTCGCAGTAATTCCATTGTAATCCTGGCTGTATGCGATGTGGCACCGTCTTGTTGATACCACATGTTAATCAAGCCCAAAGCATGCAGTTGTGGCGTTAAAAAGTTTTCAATCATATCACGATATCGCTCCCCATTCACAGTTACCGTTACGCCGTTTTCATTTCCAAAGAAGTAAGGTCCAATGATTCCTCCTGACCAAATTGCACACCAGACTGTCACTTTTAATGGATGCAAAGGTAACTGATGAATAATTTGAGGGTTTTCCATTGCCCAGAACCGACTATTCTGTTTATTCACATATGCATTCAAATGAAAATGTGCCTCGTCACTCATTATGATTTTTTCATGAAAATCGGGGTTGTCATGGGCGAGCTGTAACATCCTATTGGCATATGTACGGCGGCGTAAATGGTCTTGTGGAAGAAACTCTTGTGTCAACTGAATCTTAAATGGAAACAAATGCAAATCCTTGTGCAAAATTGTGGCCAAAGTTGTTCTTTGAAGACCAAGCTCCTGAGCACGGCGTCGAATTGAGGTTGATGGATTGTTTTGAACACTTTCTTGAGCAGCAGCAATGTTTTCAGCCGATCTTGCAGTACGTTGTGGTCCATGCTTGGGCCTATCACCTACAGACCCTCTTTCTTCGAAATCATTCACTACACGATAAATAGTGCGTTTTGTTGGCACGTTGTTTCTCCCAAAAATTTCACGTAACTTTCTCATCGTCACAGTAATCGATGATTGATTTTGATAAAATGTTTTAACGATTAAAACACGTTCGTTTATCGAATATTTTTCCATAATAAATTTGCCATGTGTGTACTTCACGACTGCTAAATATGAACTGTCAAGACTAATGTTTACCAAANTGAATTTTGCACAATATACTGCAAGTTAAAAATGTTCAAATTTATTACCGATGTTGCAAAATAGCAATAATTGATGAAAAAAAGGGAAAATAATCAAGTTTTTTGGATAATTTTTTTAAAATATTTTAATTGCTCAGAGGGCATTCTAATTTTGGTAAAAAAACTATAGAGTATAATAAAACAACACACCAAATTTGATTAAAATCGTTAAAGCATCTAGATACTTGAAATTTTTTTCCTATAGAGAAGACCGATTAACCTTTCAACTAGTTTTTGAAAAATTGAAATCGGTTGATTAGGACAGCCTCAGTAAATTTTTATTTTTAAACAATCAGATTACATTATTTATCAATTTGCAGTTTAGTGTTAGAATTCGAAACAATGTTGTTTTTTCTATTATTTGCTGTGGTCATTTATAGACTAGCAAATTCACGAGACGAAAGAAAATACGTGCATGAAGTAAGAAGTGGAAGTATTGTGGTAAACATGTGGGATTTTATTGGTTTTATAGGTTTCTGCGCTTGTTAGGATGTTGGGGAGCAATTAATTGCAACCATTTATGAAAACAATTAGGAAAATATAAAGAGTAATCTGTGAGATAAGTTCATGGAGAATTCCAACATCAGAATATTCCAACATGATAACACTCCCGTCCATATTTCCAATGTAGCTCGAAACTGGCTTGGAGGAACAATGTTAACATTTTAAGTTGATCTTCTGGGAATTCAGATGAGGGAGAATTCTATTGAGAACACAAAAATAATATAAGCAACTTCAGTTCTAGAAATTATAATAAACTGCGAGATTCTGCTCTAGAATAATGAGATAATTTAGATGAAAATATGATTTTTGCTTTCATAAATTACATTTCATGCCACGACGTTTAAGGGCAGTTAAGGAGATTTATCGGGTTTTATAGATTTTATTAATATCTCGTTTCTTAGGTATCCAAACTAGACATAATTTTTTTTTTTGAGGATTTTCTTCATATTAATAAGCTTATATTAATTTTTTTATGAATATTTGTTTGTCAATTCCAAATCAGATAAACCTCTTTAAATATGATTATCACACAGTAGAATACTTTAAAATATCTATAAAACTATTCATTTAACAACAACTCACCTGCAAATATGTATGTTTTTGTCAAGTTCTCACAGCATGTACCGGTAAATGTTTTTATTGCTGCGGTTCATAGGTAACTAAAAGTGATATAAATCGAAGTCATATTTATTTATCACTTAAACATTACAAGTTACAAGGTCATCTCTAGGAGTAAATATATTTTAATATACAGGTGCAACAGACCCCTACAAATTTATTGTAAGATCTGTGTTAACGCAAATATTATCCTGAGGGGATAGCAGTAAGGAAACCAATCACAGAATTAGGAGCTAAAATTTATAATTTTTATCAACGTTGTCGAAAGATGTCCATGATGTCTTATAGGCTCTACGGAGTGATCAAAATAAAATTGATATTGTATATTTTCTATATGATGTACTTATTGTTAGTGTAAACTCTTTGTGTAATAACACTGAGGCCCGGTACTTTGAGTCTCTGTTAAGGCTTGATTAACTAATCAGGCGATTAGACTGTGATTACACTTTATAAAATAAATTATTATATGTACCGGACCTAATAGTTATAAATAAATAAATAAATAAATATAGTTCCGTATGGTTTTCCATAAACAAAATTTTATTTGTTAGTAGAAGTAACATTTTGTTTTAACTGGAAATAATAGGTACATAATATTTCCTCTACCATTTAATCTAACATAAATTAACAGCAATTAAGAATAATTTATAACGATAATTAATTCCATTAGGCCATCTTCGGCTGTGCCCTCTTCCTACGTGTTATTTGTGGCAGGAAAAGCTTTTGTAAATTAATTCCTGGCTGCTCGAATACTACTGTGAAAATAATTCCTACTATTACTGATAGTGGTGCATCGAAAAACAAAAAGCACTTTATCTGGAATATGAAAAGTATTACTGATTCAAAATTCTGGTGGTAAACAGTGAAATGTGCGAAAACAAATTTTATTACCATATTAACAGGGTCAAATTTCATCAATGAATAACTTCGTACTCCTTTAGAAAATATAACAACAAACTGAGACATGTAAGTGGAAAATGAGAAATTGCTCATCAGCACAACATATTTATTTTCACATATATGCTTTATAAGACCTGAAAAAAAACCTACTTAGATTAAATCAACTTTTGATCAATTAAACAAATTTGTCTTTGAAATGTATGTAGGAACTTGTAAAATAAAATATTCTATAAATATTTTTCAAAGAAAAAGTAAAAAATAAATGAAACAATAATAATCAAATCAAATACAGAGCCTTCATAAATGTTTACAAGTCACGTGATGACCAAGTTTAGGCAATCTAACATTACACGACTGGTACTGGCAACGAAAAATCCCTAAATTTTGACGTCACTAATATTAATGATTCGTTTATAATGAACAGTGACAAACCGTTACACCTACGCTCGATATAATGACTCCGCTGATTGGCTGAATAGAATTTCGTGAAAAGTTACACCAATCTCAGCCAGTAAAACAGAATATTGTATATATTGAATATTAATGTAATCTTGATCTTTGTGACAACTTGAAGGAAATAAAATTATTGTCCTAAACAAAATTACTGATCACGTGGCTTGTAATCATTTATGGATGCTCTGTATTTAATAACTGGTTTCGATGAAAATGCTTTGAACCATTTTTTGGTTATATTAAGGAGGTATATCGGGGTCTGAGGGAAGTGAGGAGCGCAGGGGAGGTCCTATGCTTTTCTTATGGGGCTAAAACCCGCTACCAACTTGAAAAATTTAAATTCTATTGAAATTATTTGCGATAAACATTATCTATATAGCAAAGAAATCTACTCAATATGCACATAACATACATATTGAAAATTAACAACATAAAAATATCATATTTAAGTAGTTTTAAATTATATTTAATGAACGCATAAGCACTATGTAGATGTGGCAACAGCGCTAATAATCGAGTGCAGTTGTACACATTGCGAACCTACAGACCTCGGACATCGGAGATATTACGCGTCAAATTCGGGTAAAGATGCGTACGCGTTCAAAAATGTATTGTGTGTAAATTATGTAAAATATAATTATTATATATAACAAATATATCGTATTATCCTCGCGAAGATTTGTATCCTTTATTTAAAATCCGTAAATTATGTGAACTGGTAAAATAACGAGAACATAATTATATTAATTTAGTTCTAAAGAAATAAAATTACACTCACGCCCATCTCTCGTCCAAGTCAAAGAAAATGTTAGATGTAATTTTGAAGGTTCTGTGATAGAAATTACATTATTACTCACTGTTCGTGTTTCTTTGTTATTCTGTACAAATGGTTTTATCTCAAGTATTACTAATTATATTAATCAAGTAAAGAAAACTTTATGTAACCCTAAATATTGCTGGGTACGGATTACGATGTTTTTATAAACCATTAAATATATTAAAAGGATTTACCAACTGTATTTTTTATTCCAATAAATATATCACAGCTTCCTAGCCTTTTAAAATCAATTTAGTTTTTTAAAAACATTACAAAAAATAATCTGTTGTGAATAATTTATTGTTGATAACAATGTACAAGGGATTTAGGAAAAATGTATATGTTTGAAACCAATTTCGTTTTTATCAAGTCTTTCAAATGTATTCCCTCCTTGCTGTCAGCTGATTGCGACGTTGCCACATTAATCCTCAAGCCAGACAGAAATGCAATTATTGGTTTCTTTTTCTAATTAATACAGCTGTACTATGTTCAAAAATTACATTAGTTTTACATCAAAAATAAGATAATACTGTGTACTAACTATGGAAAAGTTTTGTTTCACAATTTCTACGTTTTTTTCTCAGTTATCGGCAAAAAAGGAGCCGCACCGTCCATCTTCGCCATATTCGCACAATATCTCAAAATCTAGATTTCAAAAAAATATGACACACAGAGGGAGCACTGGGTAATATGCTATATAAATTTCAAGTACATCTGTGCATTTTAGTAAACCCGATATACCTCATTAAGAGTTGAAATCATTAGTTTCGAAATTTATTTACCAATTTCATTGGTTTTTTTATTGTTGATAATTTTTATTCCAACTAATCAGACAATTAAGCTTATTGTACAGGAGGCAGGTGGCTTCATAAAACTATATTAAATGTTTTACCTCCAATATTGTGTGACATTCCTAAAATGCCTATTCCAATGCCCAAAGAAAACAGGGGTTTAACCAAGGCTCCCAAAACTGCTGCTCGAATTCCCCTGAATTCATGTCTGGCTATAAGTATCACTGAAGAAGGCAGACCAAAAAAAATTAAGAGCCACAAAATGGATATAATCTTCCGATTCTAAGAAAAAAAAGAAACAGAAAAGAAATCGCAAAGTTTTTATCATTAAGGTGATTATGAAAAAGTCGGTTCTGTGCAACTCATTTTCTTGTGACCCTGTATAAATATCGAATAAAGTAAATATAAATATTAAAAGTCATCAATAACTAAACACGCGTACAAAATTTGGCACTAGTACATAAGATATTTAAGAAAAATCATTTTATAGAGGTCATCTTTAAACAGTGGTAGGTACCTTCGTCAGAAGTCGGAATTGACCCCTAGTTCATTTGAATATTTTGTCTCAATTTTGACAAAGAAAAACCATGTAGAAGTTTGACAGTCAGATTAATGGACATCCACTAAATATTTATTAAAGTATTCAGAGTGATTTCACTTTTAATACAGAAAGTGTAGGAATAGATCAATTGCAAAAAATAAGTAGAATTTGCTCTATAAGCGTTTTCCTGAGGGACGCCGCACAGTGTGCCCATTTGGACAAAATTCTGCCGACAGTACAAGAATAAACCGATTTTCATGAAAATATTTTTGATGTTATACCTTGAAAAATGACCGATGGGTGCGATAAATTTAATTTATGACCTGTTGACCTTGATAAAATTCGAATTCGTGGGACACCCAGCCTGTTGTGCATAAAATACGTTTTAAAAATAACTTCACAGACATTTTGGACCATACAATGCTCTCGAAAAATTGTTCAAAGTTTTTTTCTGAGTTCTTGTTATCTTTGTGACTTCAAGCCATATCACCAAGGTCATTTATTTATTTATTTATTTATTTATTAATTACAATAAAATATCCAACGGGACAAAAGCCCAATTACAGGATAAGTAAAACTATGATAAAAAACACAAAACAAAAAGATAAATAACTACATTTAAAAAAAAAGAAAAACACACAATTAAAACTCGACACCTATATGACAAAAGTATAAATCATACAAACTTAAAAAGGAATAGGTCAAACGCAAGAAGCAAGAAAAGCTACAAAAAACAGCGCTTCACATAAGCAAGTGTGCATGAAAATATGTCCAAAACATTTTCAACGGCACGATAATTATATATCATTTGATACAATGGAGATTTTAACAAAACATTGGTACGGGCTTGAGGTATAAGGAATGCATTGCTAAATCGATTGTTAAGCCTAGGCACCCTAAAATTCAAATACGCCAGCAAAGCATCGGAAACAACTAAATAATGTACAATCTTAAAGAGAAGCCGTACACAACACATTTGACGCCTAATTAGGCTTTGCAATTCGAAACGGTTATAAAATATAGCCTGTTGTGTCCCTCGCGCAGGATAAACACCGTCCAATATAAATGCTGCCGACTTGAAAAATCTTCTTTGAACCATTTCCATCGCGGAAATCTGAATTTCGTAGATCGGACTCCATATGACCGAGCCACATTCAAGTTTAGATCTAATGAAAGTTATATACAATAATCTAAGCGATGTAGACTCTTTAAAATCCCTTGCATTGCGCAGAATAAACCCCAAGTTCTTATAGGCCCGAGATATGCAGTCCTCCATATGACGCGCAAACCTAAGTTTTGAATCAAAATTAATTCCCAGATCCTTTACAAAATCAGGCCTCTCGAGCACACAATCGTCAAGCATGTAATTAAATAAAATTGGATTTAATAAGCCATAAAAAGACATTACTCTACATTTGGATGCATTTAAGGGTAATCTATTGTTATTACACCAATTGCTGAAGGTCAAAAGATTGTTTTGCAGATCGTCATTTGAAGGTCAAAGGCGTATTTTATAGGCCAAATACTGTATATTCATAAGATAAGGTTTGAATTCATCAAAAATTATTATGAAACGATATGAGTATATTCAGCCAGCTGCTACTCTACGTTCTTACCTCAACATATACATATATACATGGTGGGCCATTAGTGTGAGAAAGTAAAATAACTCCCTTGTTACTCATAATACATAAAAAAAACTTTATATAAAAATTATACAGAATGAAGAAAGCTAAACTACAAAATTAATTTAATACATACATTTAATACATTAATTAAATGGAACACCCTATATATTTTTAAACATATGGATTTCCGAGAAAATTCTATATCTGGCAATAAAATTAACTCAAAATGGAATGATAAATTATGAACTGACAAGTTGACACAATGTGATAGTTTTTTTCCAAAGAAATTTCGTGCGACCGAAAATAATAAAAAATTAGGTTTTTCCAGAAATGTTGCTATATCTTAAAAATTAACAACTTTAGGTGTAGAACATACTTAAGTATGAAGTGGACTGATATGTGAATAAAATAGAACAATAAAATGTAGGGTGTTCCATTTGAAAAATTTTAGAAAATCAAGTTTGAACTGTCTTAAAATGATCGTATTATAAAAAATGCCCTGTATAAAATATCGATATTAGCTAATACAGGAGTATTTGCTTAACATTTGACTATAACTCTGTGAAATATTTTTGCTCCAAGTGTTAGTAGTTGAATACAACTTCTTTGAGGTCATATTTTTTCTTAAATTCGAAGAATTTTCTACATAACTTGGCAGCCCCGCACTAAAATGTTAAACTGTTTATATTGCCATATATAGAATGTTCTTAGAAATCCATATGTTTAAAAATATATAGGGTGTACCAATTTAAAAATGGAATATTTGGCGTGTGTCGTTTTTACTCATCGCCCTGTATGTTTCAAATTAATTTTGTACTTCAGGTTTTTTGATTTTGTGCAACTTTTATATAAACTTTTTTCTGTATTATGAATAACAAGGGAGTAAGTTTACTTTCTCACACTAATGGCTATAAAATACCCCTTTGACCTTCAAATGACCTTGATGAAATGGCTTGAAGTCACAAAGATAATAAGAATTCAGAAAAAAACTTTTTCGTGAGCATTGTGTGGTCCAAAATGTCTGTGAAGTTATTTTAAAAACGTATTTTATGCACAACATACTGGGTGTCCCACGAATTCAAATTTTATCAAGATCAAAAGGTCACAAATTAAATTTATCGCACCCATAGGTCATTTTTCAAGAAATAACAAACATGCAAAAAAATTTTCATGAAAATCGGTTTAGTCTTGCACTGTCGGCAGAATTTTGCCCAAATGGGCACACTGTGCGCCGTTTTCGTGATAAAGTGTGTTAAAATTAAAAACATATATACATATGTCCTTTCTGTTATAATGCGCTGACGGAATTCAATGAAATTTACTATAGCGTATTCACTTAACTGGACCTTATTAAATGCAATATAATAACAACCTCGTGGCTGTAACCAGTGTGGTGCAACTGAAGGTGCCGCCCCATTTTCACAAAAAAAGACACACCACTGGCGGTTTTTTTGTAGAAATATTGTTAAATTAAGCTTCTGTTACGTTAGAAGAATGAAAAATGTTTCCTGGTGTTTTTAAATAGCAGCAGCCGTTGAAGAGGTAATTTATTTGCTGACCATAATGCGCAAATTTAGTCCACAAGTTGTACAGGGTGATTCACTATATTTTGATCCCCCCCCCTTTAACTTTCTTATTTTAAGAGTTATAAAATAATGTAAATTACAAGAATTTTTTATAAATTTTTCGAAAATGATAATAGAAAAACAAATGAAGTCCAAACAAAATGGCCGCGGATGTTAACTTTGTTAATTTAAATGGAACACCCTGTATATTTTTTCATATTTGGATAGATTGTTCCCTGTCGAGCATAATCATATAGTGTCGGCTCCTTCTCTAACAATAAGCGAGATACTATTAAAAAAAGAAGAGAATGTTTTTTATTAAGAAAATAAAAGAGATCTTGTAATTGTTAGACCTCTTTCAAGCACTTCTGCCTTTTTTCCAATTATGTAAGGATTTACAGATTTAATTGAAATATATTTTGACAAATCGGACATTGATATGGTATTGAAATGCGTATAGGTATTCTAACTAGATCTCACTAATTAGGCCTTGAGACACTCATGAACAATGTTATATGGTAGGCCGTTACAGTGACAGGTAATGTCATGATAACATTGTTATTGATTGACAGTTTGTATTATCATTTAATTAAAATAGGTTACACAGAAGTAGAAATATTATTAGGAATTAAAATAGAGTATGGAGAAGATCTTTACTCTATTTTAATTGATATAATATTTCAATTTTCTATTTCTGTGTAACCCATTTTAATTAAATAGCATTACCTGTCACTCTCAAGGCCTACCATATAACATAAGTAATAATTAGCCACTCACGGCTTAATTAGTGCGATTTAGTTAAAATAACTATATGCATTTTGGACCATATCAATGTTTGTTATGTCAAAATATATTATAACTAAATCTATAAATCCTAACGTAATTGGAAAAAAGGCAGAAATGCCTGAAAGAGGTCTAACAATTAATTACAAGATAACTTATTTTCTTAATAAAAAAACTTATCCTTTTTTAATAGTATCTCGCTTATTGTTAGAGATGGACCCAACAAACCCTATATGACTATGCTCGACAGAGAGAGTTCTATCCAAATATGTAAAAATATACAGGGTGTTCCATTTATATTAACAAAGTTACATCTGCGGCCATTTTGTTTGGACTTCATTTGTTTTTCTACTATCATTTTCGAAAAATTCATAAAAAATCGTGCAAGTTTCGAATTTCACATTTTTTTTATAACGCAAAAAACAAAATGGGGGTCAAAATATAGTCACCCTGTACACACTTATATTTGTTTAAAATCTATCTGCAAAAATTGATTCTTTTGTCTGCATAATCAGTTAGTAAGTTTTACGATGATCTCGTTTTAGTATGTTAACTAGCTTCGTTTCTTTATTCCTGAACCTGCTAACTTTCTTGGGTTTAGGAATATTGGTAATAATTTTGGTAAACGATAAAGGAAAATTGTAATCTCCTTGAAGAAAGTCATGTAGATAAGTTCCCATATAACTAGCCTGATTAGAAAATGTTAAAAGTGTATGAATGCGTAAGGATTTTAGTTTCATATTTTTTCCAGAAATAAAATTATTTCTACAAAAAACCGCCAATGGGAAATGTTGAGGACTGCTTTAGTAGCACGTCACTAGCACTGGTTAAAACCACGAGGCTAATATTTCGTCAAATTTCGTCTTGATTTATTAGAAAAATTTAGTAACGTAAAAACAAGCCCAAATATCTCCTAAACAGCTGCTACTATTGAAAAACACCAAGAAAGATTGATATGACAGAAAATATATATTTTTTGTAAACTGTATCTCGAATATCGCATTCTCCAGGAAAAAAGTTTATGCGGTGATTTACAAAAGGTGACCAAAAATGAAACATCTCGTATAAAATTTTTATCTAGGATGCTTCGTTAAAAAGATACAGGGTGTTAGACTTAAAAAATATTTTTAATTCTTTAAATAATTTAAAAACTAGTAAGGGAAATAATTTGAAACTGGCACATCTATTTAGGTACACATTGTCCAAAATCCGAGGCCTTGTACAAAATTGAAGTACGAATCCGAAAATATCATGATTGTTACCGTAAAGCAGTAGCGTACTATGTATTTTATTTAGTAAAATATGCCACCGATACCCTGCATCTCCGCCACTGAAGCATCTACATTTTAGAAAAAGACACTAGGCAATATTTACATAAATCATGGAAAAACATATATTATTTAATAGACATATAGACATACTTACTTTGTTACTGATGAAATTGAAATTCCTGTACTTCGTATACGAAATTCCTAGCGATATACCTATTAAGCTTGTAGTCCAGTTACAATATGTTGATTGATATATAATCCTGAATGATTCTAATTGTGTCAACACATAATTTCTCAGAGTACTGTTGAATAAATTAAAACAATATTATAATGTTACCATTTTGAGAGTGAATTTAGTGAATTGTAATGAGTGAATTATATGCAATTTCCATAATTTTAATTTCTGATACCCACATCAATTCTTGTAAAAGTATTGTATACAGTGTGAATTATAGTACTTATTAGGCGTAAAAAAAAATAAAGTGTATTTGTCTTCAACGAATTTCTTTAGAGTTCATTGAAATATTTTAAGGAGTGACGCAATTATGTAAAAACAGGGAATTAAATAAATTTTTTTGAATACATATCTTTTTAATGAATAATTTTGGTACTATACTAGATAATTATTTTGTGCAGACGAAGCATTGGTAACATTTTTTTAAATCTAATTATGGCTCACGATGTACATATATACATGGTGCATCTATATTCCCGATATACCAAACCACCATAGTCATGAGATCAGTTAAACGAATTGAACTATCTCTTACTTCCAAATGTTACCTTTAAACCTATTTCTACCTAAAGTTGATTAATTTAACTGTTAGATGGCGCTAAAGTCGACACAATTTTTTTGTTCTTTCCAAATAGTCCCAAAAAGCTTTATTATAATTATTTTATTAATGATAATATACTTTTGGAGAACAATTTGGGTGGAAAAATAAATGAAGAAAATGAAGCAGCGGATTCTTCGGTCGATGAAGGCGGTAGTTTACATCAAAAATTTTGTTTTAAAGATGGCTATCCAAAACAATTTTCTTTTCTTCACAATTTTTAAGTACTTAAAAATTCTGATAATAAATGTACAGGGTGTTCGCCCCAATGATATTAGAGGGTAACGAAATATGTTACTGTAAATTTGAAGAATAGTGTTTCAGCGGCATGGACTGAAGTGCATTTTGAACCAAAAACTAAAGTTTTAGATATTTTGAAAATTGTGTTGATGACGTCAAGAAATATTTTTTCCAGGAACATACCTGCGTTTTTCCATATTTAAAAAGAACATATTTTTCCGATAAACTTTTATTTAAAAAATTTTTCTCTGTTTTCATTAAATGTTATGATCAGAAGTCAAAATAATAACACAGACAATATAGCTTATCGCCATACCTATTTTGTCTGTGATAATAATTACAAACGATTTATAATTATTATTTTAGAATTTACTACTTCGTTAATAGTAGAAGGCCGTTGAAAGCGTTCATACAAGGCTTGCTATTATACTGTTAAAGATGCAAGTTGCTAGGAGTCCTTGAAATGGTAATATCAAATACATATTTAAATACTGAACATGTAAGAACGAAAACAAAAATAATAAAGGTAGAACAAAAAACAAGAAGTATTTTACATATATAACCAAAATTATTATAGGTAACATATTTTCTATATGTCCACCCTCTGTACCTAAACATAAATCTAACCGACGCCTAACTCCTTTTATAATTGCATTCCTCAGGATATTAGGAGTAAGCTCTTCACAGGAATTTTTTCTTTTAAATATTCTATATTACGTGACATACTTTTATAAACTATTTTTAAGGAAACCCCATAAAAAAAGTCCAAAGGAGTCATGTCGGGAGATTTTCCAGGCCATTTTATGGATTCATTTATTCCAATCCATTGTTTCTCGAAATCAGTAGTTAAATAATCCTGCACAATAAACGCTTTATGAGATGATTTCGAGAAGTGCTGGGAGTTCTTCTGGCAAGAAACGCAAGTATTCTATATTATTCAACACACCTTCATAAAAGTATGGTCCTATCAGATGACATCCAATGACACCACACCTCACATTCACACCAAAATGTCCTTGATTTTGTATAGGATGAACAAAGTATGGTTTCTCAATGGACCAATAATGTTTATTTTTTTATTTGGCAAACAAAACGGCTTTCATCGGCTTGGAAAATAGATTGAGAACAATTTTTGGAATAAAAGTTTATCGGAAAAATATTGTAGTATAACAACCCCGGGTTCGATCGACAAAAATATAAATACGTAGTTGTGGCTAAAAGTATGTGATCGTCATAAGGAATACCTACGTTGTATACATCTCTTTTTTTATTGACCGGACGGCGTTGGCTACTAACTTTAAACAGGGGAAGTATGTTTTAATGTTATAAATCAAAAGCAGAGTAAATACACCTAACTTTATTATTTACGTACATCAGTCTTCAAATTAAACATGTGACAAATAGAAAGAACAGCAAAAACATTAACAACCATTTAACATGATGAAATGAGAGTGCCAGGCTCACTTAGAGCTCCTGTGGGGAAAGAGCATGGCAGAGAAACCCACGATCGTTGCTCTAACTACCCAAATATAAATACAAAACAACCGCTAACAAAAGACATAAATTAAGAACCTTTGCTAATGATAAATAAGACCTGACTTATTTAATGTCTCACTAAATGTCATCTCACTCAAATTAGACATATACACTTCCAAGTAAAACTGAAGAGGATATAGTAATAATAACAACAACAACAACAATAATAACAACAATAATAATAACAATAATAACAATAATAATAGGTAAGGTACTGGAGTCCCATACGGGAGGCAATCCAGCTACAGTTGAAATATCGTAAGAACAACAACAATAATAACAACAATAATAATAATAATAAATAGGTAAGGTACAGGAGTCCCATACGGGAGGCAATCCAGCTATAGTTGAGATTTCGGAAGAACAACAACAATAATAACAACAATAATAATAATAATAAGTAGGTAAGGTACTGGAGTCCCATACGGGAGGCAATCCAGAGCAATTCTTTTTTTGTATTCAATTATTCTTTTTACAGATTCATTCCTCACGGGCGAAAATGTTAGTATATTCAACAAAGCCTTACATGCGTATGACATAAAGTGAGCACAAGAAATCAAAGAACAACGTAATCATGATAAAACAAGTTAAATGTGAAACAAAGATTATTGCAATATCCGGGCAGTCACGACAATATATACATATTTTAACATGTAATAAATTATGAGCAATCTTTAATAATAATTGTAAAAATTTTACGTTAGAAAAATATACGCCCCTGAGCATAAGACAATGAAGGCTAAACATATACAGAATTATTATCATGAAACGTCTATAATCATCACAATCATAAGATTTCATAGAACAGTTAACAACTAAGTACGTAGAGAATAATTACCTGCTAATTAATAATTAAACACTTAATTTTTCACTACTTCGCCACACTGCCCGTCGATGTTCCTGGAAAAAAAATCATGACGTCATCAACACAATTTTCGAAATAATTTAAAACTTTAATTTTTGGTGCAAAATGCACTTCAATTCAAGCCGCTTGAACTCCATACATCAAATTTTCAGTAACATTTTTCGTTACGCTGTAATATTATTGGGGCGTCGAGTTTGGGACACCCTGTATAATGGGTGTATTATTTCATCCCTTACTATGACGCAACAACTAGTGGAATAGGTAAGGAAAACGACATTGTAACAGTACTGCATCCATGAAAAAAATGTTTTTATTAGAGCTGATTTTGAAAAAGCCATGGAAACTTGATTTCATAACCCAGTTTTAAAGGATTGTAGTTTCCTAGAACAAAAATATACACAACACATCACTTTAAAATCGGCTGAAGAATCCACCGTTTGATTTTCATCAACTATTTTCGAACACCCTGTACAATTAGCGGTAGTCGAGGTAACAAAACTTTTCGTACATTTACGAGTATATGTCAGTCAGTCTGTGCCATTTAGTATTTAGTATAACGGTTATCTATTTACAAGCGACAATAACTACAACTCGCAAAATAATCACTATCTGCAACATTTGCGCAGATTTTATAAGCACAAAAATGTTGTATGTTTTCCAGTCGATTGATGTAGACATGTACTGTATTGAATGTACAGAAATTGCATATTTTAATTTACTAAACATACTAAACATAAAAAAAGTCTTCATAAATGATTACAAGCCACGTGACCTGAGAGCTTGGGCAACTGAACATTGCACGGTGCTGTGACCTAAAAATTGCTAAATCTTAACGTCATGTCACCAAGATTCGTATCATTCATTCGTTTACAATGAACAATTACAAACTGTTGGGTCTACGCTCGAGATAACGCGATCGCTGATTGGTTGAATAGAATTTCGTGAAAAATTACATCAATCACTGGCTGGTGAAACAGACTGTTGTGTTTTAATATTAAAACAAGATTGTATAATCTTGATCTTTTAATTTTATAGAAATTTCATTATCAACCTGAAGAAAATAAAACTAATGTTCTAAACAAAATTACTGGTCACGTGGCTTGTAATCATTTATGAAGACTCTGTAGGTACATGATAGAGAATTAAATAACTCTATATTTTGCCATTTTGTGTATATAATTTTAGAATCTTCAGATTTCAGAGCACTGAATATTAATGAATTAATGTAGTAATGGTGAAACAACATTGTGATATCAAAAATAGTGATGGACGATATCGTGATTTTTCGATATCAACGTGATTCGTGAATGCGATTTTTTAATTTCAGTGATTTTAAACCGTGACGTGATCACGGTTTACCAGCTCCAACCTCCAGTATAAGCAATACACATGTTGTGAGTTGTCACTTGTGACGTGATGTGACGTTACTATCATCGTTATTCGTTATCGTATCACATTATCACATCACATCACACCCACAGACCATAGATTAGGTAGATGATCATATAACTCATTCTCGCGCATTCACATTCAAGTATCAAATATTCATTCCGTTCCATACTAAACTGTGATTAGGTCACGGTTTTGGTAGGAAGTTAGTATAGTTTTTCCGAAGTCAATTGAAGAACCAATATCTTCAAGATATGTACCAAGCTCGGTCGCTAAGCAGCAATTCGGCATTGAAATATTTGAAAAACTTGTTCCCACATTTATTTAGTCATACCCATATACAGATCTGGTTGAACGAAAAGTGCAGGTGGTGGAAATGTATACGCTCAGTTGAAGATTGATCTTGCGGGCAAAGAGCAATGCGCACTGTTTCTCTGGTCCATTGCGTTGTCAAAATTCAGTTGTCGACTAGTCGCCTAGCAGTGCAGTGCGGGAATGCGGAATTTGGTGTGATTCAGATAATTTATTATAGGCCTTCTATTAATCATTCACATTACAATTGCGAAAGGGAAAAATAAGAGGGATATTTGGTTTACTAATATTATTACAACATGGCATTTTGGAGACCTTTTGAAATGGAATAAAACGAAATTTACCATCAATATAATAAAATTGTTTGAGGCCATAAATAATTAAAATATGTTGTTGGTCAAATGAGCATATAATAGAAATTTTCTACACATTATATACAAATTATTATAATTTTCTACGTTTAGCAGAAAACTTGTTTAGAGACGCCCATGAAACTCATTAAATTTGATTGCTCGTTTTTTTTAAGCATGTTCAACTGACTTCGGAAGAACTATAACAGTCGTGATCCGTAATTTTGTAATATCAGCGATTAAATCACAGGTAGTGTGATCCCATCACTAATCAAAAATAGTCGGTACTATATTCATTATAGAATATGGAAATTGTATTTGATGTTACGGGTAAATGCGATCACCAAGATTTGGTTAATATTAATTAAAGAATAGATACAGGAATATAAATACTGAATTATTCTGCAAAGTACTTACTTGTAATTTGTCCTACAAAGCACGTTCATATTATTAACGTATATAATTAATCCATAAAGGAAACAGGAAAAAAGTGTTAGGAAGCTAATCACTTTAAACTCATCGAGTTTAAACTTGAGAATTAAATAAATGATGACTATTGTCACTATGTACATCTGAAAATCCACTGACAAATACCACGAACTTGGATTACACTGTAAAAATACATTAGAAATAGACAATGGACTGGAAAGATACTTACTATCTCTCCAATATATAAATAGTTATTTATGAAGAAAAAAGTTTGCCACCAGTTCTGTTTACACGCTTTTTGAGACAAGTAGATGTTATCAAAAGTAATAGGTCCATCAAGTAATCTATTCCAAGAAGATTTTACTGAAAGCAACACTATGGTCGAAGATACCCCAATTCTGAAAAAATAATAGGGTATACAAATACTATTTGTGGCTACATTTAGTTTGAACAAAATCGTGTTATTGATTTTATTTTGTGAACAATTGTATACCTTGTCGTTAGAAAAATAAATCTAGCAATCCGTTGCGGCCGAAGAAAAGTTAATCTGCATTTTGGAAAACACTGAAATTAATATTTGATTGTAATTATTAAATTTACAACAACATTATGCTAAACTTCTTTTGGATCTTAACATTTCTTGCATATGATATACCGTGTGTTACTATTTGAGGATAGTGATGGGCAGAATCGAGAAAATTCAGAATCGAATAGCTTTTCACTTTGCACTCATATCTCATATGAATGCGGCAAGGGTTTATGCATAGATAAATAAACCTAAATCATATTATATATATATATACATTTAAGTACATATGTACTTCTTTTTTATGATTGTAATTTGCACCTGTTATTACATTATGTAACTTCACTTACATTTGTATTAAAATATTTTTTATTTTACTGATAATCGTGATTTTAGTTTATTACTTACCTAAACACATTTTTATTTCAAAGATAATAAAAGTTAGCTTCCATGTAACCTAAGCTATGATTGGCTTTATTCTATTCATTAATTTATTTAATTCGAGACTTCTAGGTGAACACTTCTAATAATAGGTAGGTAAATCAAATTTCTCTGTTCATTCATTATTAAGGGCCCCATATTCTTTAAATAGTGTTTTCCGCAAAGACAAATAATTTCAAACATTTAATAACTGAATAATCTAAAGCTTATCAAATAATAGGAATGTTATGTCATGCCACCTGAGTATTTTCAAAGACGCCGCAGTAAAACGAATAAACAGGTGCAAAAAACGATCAAACCATCAAGGTTTTAGGTACTGAAATCTACGAAAATACTAACTTTTTTATATATAATTCCACATGTAAATATTCTTATAACATTTACTTGCTTAGTCCTACATATAAAATTGTTTACTTTTATTTATAAGTACGTGAAAATAATTCTTAAAATGTGGGGTTAGAATAACAGCAAACGCATGTTTTACAAACGCTTTTTTTTAGTTATTATTTTATTTGGGTAAATTTAAATGGTAACAATGAATAAACAAAACATCAAGGATTTTATTTTTGTGCTTACTTTTGTTCTACACGTTTTACTTTTCAAGATTTCAGTACCTAAAAATGCCAGAAATTTCACCATTTCTCGGCCAGGGATATGGCCACCTCACCTAAACATTCAATTCGAATACAGTGCGAGTGCTCGAGTTTCTTTTGCATTAGCCAGCTGCTTCAGCAGGGTATCGAATTCGAATTCGTCCAGTGTCGTTTGCATTCGGTGAGTATGAATTTTGTCAATTTATTTACATAAATCATAATTTTAATTCTTTTTGGCATATATAAATTTTGTACCTATATATAAAAAATGTTTGAAATTTAATTTTTCTGAAATAAAAAATAAGGGTAGCAATCCCCTAACAGGGAATCACTTGTGAAACATTTGCTTTTTATAAGAAGTAATTTCCACTTCTGGAAATTCTGCGTCTATTCAAAATATTGCTTAGAACCCCAGATATTTAGAAAAAACTGTTTTTGGGGGCGAATTTTGAGTGTATTTCATCCCCTAAATATATTTTTCTGCTGATAAAAACACCGTTTCCATAGAACTCATTTTCACCACTAAAACACTACTGCAACTATTTAAAGGAGAGCGCGATAGTGTGCAATTGTCAAATGTGATGGATTTTTTAATATAAAGACCGCGATCCGTTCTGGGCCTAGCTGATCGCGGTCTTTATATTACAAAATCCGTCACATCAGGCGATCAGCTCAGCCCAGAACGGATCGCGATGCGACGGGACGGGACGGGACCGCGAACGCCTAATGCGTTCGTTTTTAAAAAAGACCGCGATCAGCTCAGCCCAGAACGGACCGCGACGGGACGGGACTGCGACCGCCTAATGCGTTCTCTCCTTAATTCATGAACACATCAACAATTAACAATAAACATTCCCTTACCATTAATTCTGGGTCTCACCTAAAGAACCTATTAATGATGAGGATAAAGGCTTGTTTAACAGTGAACTCCCCATGGTTTCTATGAATATTGTATAATTGAAAAGTCACAATCCATGAAGATATCAGGAAAAATGTTTGAACCAAAAAAAAGCTTAAAGTACATAAAACTTGCACTACGGTAGTACTGTAAAACTGAAATGATTATTAAAGTCAAACATTAAAATGAAAAACATTAAAGTTATGGTGGTTATTTATAATTTTCAATATCGAACCAACACATATTAGCACTATTATACAGGGTGGCCACCGAGGTATCCAAGATACTTTGTGTATGAATTCTGTGACTAATTTGAAAGAAAAATGATTCTATTGACAGGTCGTATGGGTAGTTGCTAAAGAGTAAATTACATTGTTACGACTAGAGAGCTTAGAAAAAATTGTGGTTTATTTTAATAAAAGCGTAATGACAGTGCATATAACTCAATCCTCTGTCGAAGCTTACTTTCCCAGTTGTAGTGGTTTTCACATATTGTTTTTCACCTCATTAAACGCTGTAAGAATCTTCTCAATGAGTTGGTCTCTGCAACTTAGGATTTCCCATTGAATAAGTAAGTGACTTCGCATGTTCCCACATGGTTGAGATCCGGAGATCGCGGTTGCCAAACAATGGGACCACCACGACCTATTCATCGATTTGGATACTTTTCACTGAGGAAATAGGTGACACCTCTTCCATAGTGGGACGGAGCACTATCATGTAAAAAGAACATCGTCCTTCTGATTTGAAGAGGAATGCCCCGAAGTAGAATAGCTCTAGTACTCTCGTTCTCCAAAAAAACCGGTACATCTGTTCAAATTTCCGTCGAATGAATGTGATCCGATAACTTCATTATTAATTATTCCAGTCCAAACTTTTACGGTGAATCTTCTCTGAAAATGGGTTTCTCCAATAGCATGAGGGTTTTCGATTGCCCACACATGATCGTTGTGGAAATTGTTGATTCCATCTCTTGTAAATGTAGCTTCACAGAAAAGGGTTCTTGAAAGAGTACTCAGATGATTGCTCAACCATCTTTTTGGGGGGGATCCGTGTTCTTGTACCGGTTGATCTTGCACAGTCGTCCTACTTTGTCAAATAAGTATAGAAATTCTTCTCGCATTAGTACCAGGATCATTTTCTACAAACTCAATCACTTCTGCAGCATTGTTTTTTTGCATAACTTCTCTTTCACAAGTCGATTCTATTGAACGTTTGCTTTTCTAGAAGACGCTTCGGTTTGGATATCGTCGTTGATATTCCCACTGTTGCATATCCATTCTCGAAAATTATGTCTGCGTATCTTTCATTTGAATAAACTAAAGGCATGATTTTAACATAAATCAAGCAAAAATTAAAAAAGGAATTGTCAATGATGACTATTAAGGAATTGACAATCAACATTTTTTTTCTAATCCCAGCCAAATTGCTAATTATTAAATTGCGTCGCAATAATGTGATTTACTCTTTAACAATTACCCATACGATCTGGAGTTCAAACTCCGATATTTCAAGAACTATTGGGAATTCGGGAAAAGTGAATAGAATCATTTTTGCTTAAAATCAGTAGTAGAATTCATATATGAAGTATTTCCTGTATTTAGTTATTTATACATAAATATTTACAAAAATTTTATCAAAATTACATAGTACTAAATTTAAAAACAAATATTATAATTAATTTGAATTTCTAGAAAGCTCGTATTATCGCATACATTTTAATGTTAATTATTTGATTGCACTTACTCTTTCAAGGTCATTAGGATTCGAGAGGTAAATTATATTATAACTCAGCAATGAGTGAACTGCGATAATTAATAACATGTTGTAAAATCGAATTCCTTGGATTGATTTTAATTTGTTATAATCTTCATTTCCTTCAATATTACATATTTTTCTCCAGTTTGAGGTTAATGATAGTGCCATCATAAATTTATTTTCTGTAAAATAGTAGATGATTAGGAATATATCTCTGTTATTTTAAATGTTTTATTTTCTATTTAGTTTTTGCAGTTTATCACTTTTCTGTTACAACCTATTTTAATTATAATTTTCAATTATTTGTCGGTGGCCACATATTTGAAGAAAGTCAAATATTTAGGCTTTAAATACGAATTTTTTTTTTTATATAAAACTGAAATACATTCTAATCAGGTGAGTCCACGTTCTATAAAAGCAGTTATAATAATTATGTTAACGAATAGTCCAGAAATATTTATCAGTAGCTTAAATTAAAAAAATAACTGACTAATAATTACGTTGACCATTCATAAAAAAATAACTGACTAATAATTACGTTGACCATTCATAGAAATCTTGATAAAGTGTCAACAATGTAGACATTAACAAATTTTGAAAAAGCATAGGCGTTCTACATAATGTAATGAGAGATTAATAATATGTATATGACTAAAGAAAATACTGTACATCTGATGGCAAAATAAGATCGATCATAATAGAGGTGCATATTGTTTCATTAATATAAGAGAAATGATTCAATATACCAGGTGTCTGATAAGCATGTGGCAGTGTATAGGGAAGGTCAAAATAATACTAGTTTGTCATAAAAAATTCCTAAAACTTAACGGAGATACAGAGCCCCAAAGGTTACCCAACGATTTACCCATTCGGCTCTATCTTTTAAACCGACGTGTATAATTTAATTATTTTAAAATTTTATGTAGGCCATAGAGGCACTAAACTTATACTGCAGTAGAAATTTTACACTGTCGGGGAAGTCCGGAACGGACTTGCCACCACACTGGTTGGGACAAAATTTTGTCAGGTGTCATTTTATAGAGCTGATAAGTGAATTTTTAAATACTTTGGTCGTTCCTCTTTAAAAAGGTACTCCATATTTGTTTCGATAAAATTAGTTGTTTTCGAAAAAATGAAGTTTTTGTACGTCAACACGTCATTGAAATAATAAATCAGCATACTGCAATAAAACTCCTGTCGTTTTTATGTCGTTAATAGTGTGTTATTGATAACACTTGTTAAAACTGTCTGATTGATTTAGTACACAAGACTAAATGCTGGATCATTATTCCTATAACGAATATGCTGACATGTATATTATTTGTGGACAAGCACTCGGCAGTTGTGTTGACGCAAGAAGAAATTATTCTGATACATTTCCAAACATTTCCAAATCGACGTTTACTGCAAAGAAGAACTTTTGAAAGGGTTGAGCGTAGCTTACGAGAAAGAGGTAAAGAGTCAAAAGAAATAAAAAATGCTAAAATTAGCTAATCTTTTGCTAATCCATTTTAGGAAGTTTTTTGCTGCATTGTGGTGAAGGGCCTCCAAGAAGAGCAAGGAAGCCTCAGTTAGAGGAGGAAATTCTGGATGAGATTGCTGAAAATCCCTCTAATAGTGTAAGAAAGCTGTCGGTTCAAGTTCATGCGACAAAGTGGGCCGTTGCAAGAGTCATTTACACAAATTGGTTTTTGCAACGATTTAGGCAAAATCCAAATTTTACTAGTATTGTTGTGTTCACGGACGAAGTGTACGACATAAGGAAGATTTCAATTTTGTGAAAGAGCAGGGATAAATGTGACGTGGAAGCGTGGAGCATTTCTAGAATATTATTTACGAGTATGTGATTTGGAAACCATAATTTAACATTTAACATTACTTCAAAATACGATACTTTAATCCAATGTGTATATTTACTTACTGGTACTTTCGTGTGTATTTGTCCTCTTCCATCTATCATACATTGTAGCATATAAAATTAAATATAAATATGCTACGAAGAAAAATCTAAAAGGTGGGTTAATGTATTAGTACACAATACAAATTGTTTCAGAAATAAATCTGTTTCGTGAAAAGGGTAACGTAATGGCGGTTTTCCACTAAACGGACAGTTGAGTTTATGTCGTGTTTGTGTTTTCTAGAACCTGAAAAACAAAAACAAAACTGAAACAAACCCAAAACTCTTGTTTCCATCAAGCGGGCTATATTTTGTTCGAGTTTTGTTTTTGTTTTCGGTCCTTTTCCACCGGTTGCCGCAAAGAAATCAGAACACATTTTTCCAATAACCAACCAACATGTTTAGAGAAGATTTTTTTATTCTTAGTTATGGCTGGTTTATACTGAAGTCCTTGGAAAAAAAGTAAGTGTATATATGTACGGTTAAAGTGTTTACTTGGTCAGTTAGCTAGTTTGTATACTAGCCAAGTAAACACCTTAACCGTAAACATATATATTTTTTAATAGCTATAATTCATTAATGGTTAAAATATTGTTTTTGAGAAGAAGAAAACGCCAACATAGATATAGGGTTGGATCACTTAAATAGAAAACACAACACCGTTTCCACAAAACAGACTTGAGTTTCAAAACACGTCGAAACCTTTAGATGTGACCGCCTTCGTGCGGGACCCGAAAAACAAAACTCCAACTGTCGCAAAACACGCCAGTCTTCAAAAAGTTTACGAAAAGTTACAGTTCTGTTTTATTCGACACAAGTTTGTGTTTTGTTTTTGTTTTGTCCGTTTAGTGGAAAACTGTCTTAACTTATGTAAATATAAACAGCTCTTCTTCGTCTAAAGAAAAAAAAATGTCCAGAGAAAGAAAACCAAACCACATTAAATCAGTCATTAAAATTACACTTTTGTTAAAAATGTTAACCTATGCAAAGTACCTATACAGTGTAGGTTTATGTTTGGTGCTTATGTTTTTAGTTGATTTCCTCTAGATGGACTTTAATTTTAAGATGGAGACTATTTGATGTTTAATGAAAATTCTTAATTTTAAAAGTTTTGACTTGTTTAGAAAATACGAATCACCATGACAAACTTCAATTTTGTTGTACAAAGTGGGACAAAAAGACAAAAACGTTATTTTGCGTAAGAGTAAACATACTTTATTTTGCAAGATACCAAAAAAGACATGGCTTTAAATCTTCATCATATTGGTTTGTGTACTTTTTTCAGTTTAATTGTTGTAATTATGTTCGTATTATTTAAAAATTACACTTGAATAAGACGTATTTTTGTTTAGTACCTTTTTCCCTGTATAAAAAATTAAATTTTTGACAACGTGACTCTTATTCATTTTTCAAGCAAAAACTTTGATCAAGCATGCCTTTTTTTCGTATACTGAGTTTTTTTTTTAATTTGGTTTGCAGAATTCTGTTACAGTTGTCAGTGGGTGAACAATTTAGTTGTTTGGACTTTTAGTTCCAATAGACATATTCTTGTATTGTTCATAAGGAATTCTGAAATTGGAAAGGCTTCCACAAACAGGCGCGATACAAGGATGATTTGCGATATCATAATATCGCAATTATAACCCTGCAAACGAGCCTAGGTGAAAGCTTCTGCAGCTTCAGAGTTTCTTGTGAATAAGAGAGCGATATGTCCCGTGAAATGTTAAACATCTATTAAATACATCAATGAGAATGACTACCTGTGTCGAACTGAGTTCAGTTAACGCTCTTCATAAAATTCAATTTTAGCTTAAAATAAGGGCATACATACTTATTGAGTACTCATAATGTTAAGATTTCCATCTTATCACTTCATGTAATAATAAAACACATCAATTAAAATCTGGAATTGGACATAATAATATATCAATCATTGTTTAACTTTATTTGATAAGATTAAAATAACAATTATTAACATAATACTTTTAAAATAGAGTAAAAAATTTATCACTCACTCTAAATGCTAGTGTATCGAATCTCATTATTAGTAAAATGAACAAAAATATTGGCAGCTTGTACTCCACATATTCAAACCGTCAAAAATAATGACCTATTGGAAACTCAACGTAGGTAGTCATTCTCTTAAATCTATAAATATAGTTTACCTGAATATTTTAAGATTTAAAAACTTACAGTAACAGTTTGTCATATAAGGAAATTTTAATACTATCTTTTGCGGTGCAAACGGCGTTCTCTACCATTACAGTTAAATTTCCGTTTAATTTCTCATTTATCCGTATTTCAGAAAGTTTTTTAATAGAATTCAAACTAAGAACTTCTCTGTTTGAAAGACACACAGCTCTATGAATAATACTGCGGTCATTGCTGTTTTTATCACTAACAGAATCCTGGAAATAATATATATGTATCAGCAATTTTGAAATTTAGATTCACAACTTATCCAAAAAAAATGTGAATAGTTGCATCATGAAAAATGGAATCAATATCGTAAAAATTTTTGTAAAATCCTTCGTCTCCGACAAAAAAAATTATTGAAGCTGTAGTATTTTCAACCCTTACATCGCTGGGCTACTGCAGTCTCTAGCGTCATTCGCGTTATGCGCGGTACGCAATGCGGTCTTTCTCCACGTGGCCCCAGGCGATTCCGAATACTGAAATCTGATTTTAGTATTAAAACGTTTTTGCGATAGTGTTTATATTAGTTTTTCAAGTTTTAAAAATGGCTTACGTGTATAGCAACTCGGAGTTGATGGATATCGTTTTAATTTAGGGTGAAGCAAGGCAAAAGTTGTATTATGGTGAGGCATTTGTGTTATGGTGAAGCAAGACAACATTTGCGTTATGGTGAAACTAGACAATATTTGTGTAGAAAATGGGTAAGACGGACCCAAATGTGTTTACACGTCGGTGGACAAAACTTTGAACAGTTGTAACATTAGATATGTCAAATTATATTAGGTATTAATTAAAACTACAAATATTACGTGTATTCTTTCGTTGTGATTGAACTGAATTTAGTAACATAAAGTGATTTGACGTAATAGTAGGTTGTTTTTTCGTTTACAATCAGTTCCCCCACTCTAACTCAAAAAGTGTTCGAAATGTGAATTCCCCTTGCCCCTCAAGTACATAAATTTTGTTCAATCATTTGAATCAAATCAGTTTGCTTTAACCTAACTTTTTAAAATTGACATTTTAGTTTTATTGTTTTTGCCGGTCACAGTGATAAATATATGGGAAAAATGGAAAATATAGAACTATATGACGCCGAAAGTCAGTTTGTATATAGACTACGCGTGAGTCACGAGGAAGCTAGGAGATGTGAAAACGGTAAGTAAAGAGGTAAAAGTAATAATATAATAATACAAACATGATTAAAATTTTAGATGTTACATTTACTCAAACTCTTTTGCATCAAGCAAAACAAGGTTTAGTAGAGGGTTATGCTGAAACCTCTGAAATATAAATAAATCTGACAATATTTCTATTGTTAGTGATGATGAGACAAGCCCATGGTCTTACAATGAAACATTAGCTCTAATAGCAGCATATGACAGCCACAAAGAAAACTTTAATATTGCAAAGAAAAGGAGAAGTGTTTGGGAGGACATTTCCAATGAACTTTTAAGTCAGGGTTTGCAGCGAAGTGCAACAAAGTGTGAAATAAAATGGAGAAACTTAATCCGAACATATAAAAACATTAAAGATATGAAAAAACGTACGGGTAGAGGTTCCAATAGATTTTTATTTTATGATAAGATTGATGACGTTTTGGGAGAAAAGCCATCTATTAGCTGCAGCCACACATTTAGTAGTACAAATATAAATGATGAATCTTCAATGCCTACTGCATCTAGCAACCAAATTAATATCGATGCCGAGGATGCTTCTACAGTGATAGAACTTGCTACTAGCGAAAGTAGCATGGCAAGTGCAAATAATACAAGGTCTCAAATTAAAAAACGCAAAAAAACGGAAAACGATAATGCTGATAACAAGTTGAAAAAGAAAATGCTAGAGCTAGTGGATATTAAGATTGATTATTGTAAGAAAAAAATGGAAGTAACAAATGCTAAAGAAAGAAGAAAAGAAGAAAGACTGGCGTTGCAACGAAAAATTGTAGAATTGGAAGAAAATAAGATAGCACTCCTTCAAACGTACATTGAACAGGAAAATAGAAAGAATAATACTTAGATACTTTCATACCTACTTAAATATTGTTGTAACTATTGTAAATGTATAATAAATATAAGGTAAGGTGGGGCAAGAGCTGCCCAAATTTACATTAGTATAAGATTAACAGACTGCAGAGCTCTAAATAAACATATTGTTGAAAATATTTTACTTTGGGACGAAGCCCTAGTCTGTTGGCAACAAGGCATCATATTGGTAATAAATGTCATTCAATTTTTTTTCATAACGTATATATTTTTTGATGGCTGTAGGACGCACTTGCCCCGGAGACATGGGGCAAGAGCAAACCTGGCGGTTATTTGAATTATAACTACGTATTAAATGATATGGGGCTAGTGCGGTAAACTACATTAGATACATGTTACTATGTTGAACATAGAACTTTTTTACAAATAAAATTTTATAAGTTATAAACTTTTGAAATTCACTAAGTAGGGAGCTTATACGAGGCAACTATAAAATAAAATTACAAATAATGTTATTTTATATTTTATTAATGAATAAATCGGAAATTAAAGTGTAACACATTATTTTTGTTCAATAACGTTTACTGGATGTTCAAAGACATATTTTTGACGGTCCCCCGTATTTACAACTGTTGGTTGTTTCAACTTTTGCTCTATGTCTGATAGAGAAATCAAGCATTTATCATTTTCTGCAAGTGTAAATTCCTTATTTGTTTTCAGATGTCTAAAGCAGGTTACTTCGGCTTCATCAAACCCAAGAACGTTTGTTATGACACATACATATTTAAAAATTTTTTTCTTTCCCATGAATCTGCTTAAAACAAAGTCACCTATTTGGATTTCTTTAATGTCATTTTCTTCTGAGTTAGTTTGACTTATATTTTCGTCTATCTCTGTATTCTCTTCTAATATGTCTTCGTTTTCTGCTTCGAGTTTATCAAATTCTGTTATTCGATCTTCACTGATGTCACTCTCCCAGGACTCTTCATCATCCTCCTCTGAACTGGATTCAAGTGTTTTCCTTTTTTTACATGTTTTTTCTATTTTCTTTGGTTTCTTTGCCATTTTTTTTAGTTCTTCGCTCTTCTTTAGTTCTAAAATATCTCTTTGTGTAACCACTTCAGCCCCAGGGCATATTCTTTTTTTTTTGGTGTCTTCGTCTGTTGACCATTTTCTTTTCTTGTCAGATTTAACAATAATTCCTCAAAACTTACGTTGGGCTTTTCATTTAGTACTTGGTTGGTATTGGTTGCTTCTAAAAATACTGGCCGTTAGTAAATTCTCAAAAAAGTTGGGAACATTTAGTTACCTGTAATCATTGGAGTTGCTTGGCCTATTTGAGTTGATGTTGACGGTTCTAAATTTATTTCGGGTGTGCTGTCCATTACAAGTGATGGATCTACTATATTACTTGGGGGATTCCCATTTCCTGAAAAAGAAAAACACTGAATAAGTATAATTATTATGATGAAAAAAAATGGTGATGCTTTACCAGATGTGATAGAGTGCTGGTTTTCCCAACGTTTAAGAGCAGTAGGATCGAATGCTTCCTTTGGAATGACATCTTTGTTAAAAGGAAAAATTCCGGCTTTGACAAATCCATTTATTATAACTTGAGGTGTAGTTTCTGTCCAGATTTCACCAATTAGTTAAGAAAATATAATTTTTGGTATTTTTGACCCAACATTTTTTCTCTGCCATTCTACCAATTTCTGATCCCAACGTGTTTTAAGGGACTTAAATACACTTAAGTCTAGAGGCTGCAAAATGTGACTGGTGTGGGCAGGTAGTTTTAAAATGGTTATGTTATTTTCTATTGCAATGTTTATTACTTCTATGTTTAAATGCGTCGAATGGCCGTCGTAAATAACTAAGACGGGACCTTCCTTTCCAATGTAATTTAAAAAACTTTTCCCAAAGTAATTTTTAAAAACTGAAGATTCCATCCACCCATTGGATGTAGCAGCGTATGTAGTGTTTGGAAACTCATTTCCCGGGGGAGCGACCCACTTATCCCAAACATATTTCCCTTTAAAAATGATAAGTGGTGGACCTTTCTCACCGCTGGCACTGCAATTCATCAATATAGTTGTGTTCTGTTTTCCAGGTCCACTCGTTGTCCGTGTTGTTGGAAGTCCACGTTTTCCGACAGATTTTGTTTTTGAAGGGTCCACGCAGAAACTACTCTCATCTAAATTCCATATCTGACCTGGTTTGTTTTCCAAACCAAGATCTTTTATTGTTTTTTCTAGAAGATCAAAATACTCGTATATTATAAACGGGTCAATATTTTTCTTTCGTACATATTCCACACTTTGTGGTATTTTAATTGACAAATTGTGCCTACGTTTAACATTTAAAAACCAGTCTTCACCAGGTATTCCCTTTTTAAACTGTGTTTTTAATTTGTTAGCATTTACGTATTCCCCTACTAGCTGCAATATTTCTTTGCGTGATAATCCGAATCCCCATTTTTCCATGCAACAAAGACCATTAGCAAGTAATTGTTCCTGTTAAAATGGGATGTCAGCAGCCCTACCGTAAGTGTTGCTTTTTTGCCCTCTTCGGCCCTTTACATGATCAGCTAGGGTATTTTTCGGAATATTATATAACAAACTTGCTCCATACACTGTTATCAGCCCTAATTTGATATTTCTTACAGCAGTTTCTAGCGTTTCACGGGTGTAGCCACGTCCCCTCTCACTTTTTCGTATGTAGCTCCTCACCATATTGTCTATTGTAAGCATAAAATACGTACTTATAAATAATTATCTTCACCCAACTGAAGGGGCTAGTGCATACCATAGTCCGCAGTTGCCCCAGAAAATAATTTGCATTTGCCCCGGTATTACTTTATGCAGGGGCAAGAGCGGACTATGATGAAAATATGTGAAAAAAACCAAATAACAACAAAATATCATATCCACCCTACAATTTAACCAATACCATGTACACTCACCAAATATTTATTTATATGCACTGAGGATCACTGCAATACTATTGGATAACTAATTTCACACCAACTCGCACTAAAAGTAAACAGCACACGCTTGTCTACTTTGCTACTTGGTCGCCACTAAACCTAACTTTTTTGAATATGTAGGTGTGTAAAAAGAAGAAACTACATGTTAATGAGTAAAGCCACTAGATGGTGGCAGTTTTCCTTTTAGTTTTATGAAATTAATAGTAATTGCTGCTCTTGCCCCGGCGACGCACTTACCCCATCTTACCTTAATCACTATTTTTTTGTGTTTTATTTATGTCTTAAACACTGAAAAGGTAACAAATTCGTAAAAGGTAAATTTTAACAGAGAATGAGTAATTACTAATTATACAAAATATTAAATATTTCATTTCTTCTTGTATTAATTGCTGCATCTTGGGGAACTATATAATCTTCATTGTCATTTCTACGCGGTTCATTCCCATTTACAAATTCTTCGTCTAAGTCATCCCACATTATACAGAACAATTGCAGCTACTGTACAATCAATAACAATATTTATATTTTTATTATCAAATCGTGTTAATCTCCTAAAACGTCCCTTCAGTAGCCCAAATGTTTGCTTTACAATTATTCTTTTCTTTGATAATCTTTGATTGAATTCTTTTTGATTTTCACATAAATTACCGTTATCTTTGAAGGGAGGAACTAACCAAGAAACCGTAGATGGATAAGCACTATCTGTTAAAAAATAATATGGCAATATTTGCTGTGTCATTTCCAATCTTTCATATAAAGGAGATTTTTTTAAAACACGAGCATCGTGCAAACTTCCAGGTTCATCAATGTAAATGTCATTAAAAAATTTTTTTTCATTGACATCATCTTGCAATATAATGCTATGATAGCCCTTGCGGTTATAATAATCCTCTTGATGGTCTTTGGGTCTAGGTATTTCTAAATGAGTCCCATCTATAGCACCAATAGCATATGGTAATCCACCCTGCCTCGCAAAAATCAGGGAAATATCATGAAACTGTTCTCTTTCTGGAAGTTTTATGTAGATTTTGCTGATATGTTTTAATGCCGCTGTAATTGTCAATACCGATTTGTGACAAGCACTTTCACTGATATTAAATTTATCAGCAACTTCCCTAAAACTATTCTTATTTGCCAAATAATGTAGAGTTATATGAACTGCTTTTGATTTACTAATTTCGGGCCAACCACCCACATAATTTTTCTCCGAATTTAGTAACTCGCACAATTTTAATACGGAATCGCGTCTCATACGGAAATGTTTTTTATAATCTTCATCAGAATAAGAAGGAACAGTTACTTCAAAGTAACTTTCATTTTTTACATGTTTTTTTCGCAAATTTAAATCTCCGTCACTGTCTATATCAAGATCAAGAAATGAACTGTCACTGCTCAAACTGCTGCTGCTGCTACTAGTATTTGTATTGGAATATGATGCATTATCAAAAAATATTTAAAAAATTTGTCTTTTCATTTTAAAATATTGAAAATTGGAACCTGCGCTTGAAATGGTGGGAATTTAAAAAAAGCAATGGAAACAAAGTATAACCTCAAAAAGTAAACGTTCTCGTCAAACGGAATCAGAAATACATGGGTGAAAGGGAGTTAAAAAACTGTTCTTCCGTGTTTCTGAACTGAATAAGAAAATCATTTTCAGTTTAATCACATTCTGTTTAATCAGTTCAGTATATTCACTTTGCTTAGAACGAAAGAATACATGTATTAATTAATAATAATAGCGGCAAAAGCAGTTGAATTTTCTGATACAAAATAGGTATAATTTCTTTCCTCGGGAAAGAAATTCTTTCAATTTTTTGTCCGCTATTTGCCGTCGTGCTGGTCGCCCACTGCATGCTTTGCCTTGTGCAAGGTTAGGTTTTAAAGTGGACCAGTTTGCAGTGTCGTGCAGAAGTGCATTTTTATATAATTTTCGAACTGCTCTTTCTGATTTTTTTATCAAAAATGTATATATGTATTGTCCCCTGTATATTCAAAAATTTTTTTTTGGATAAGTTCTGATTCACCTTGTATGAATACTTACTTTAATCAAGTTCCAGATAACGGTATTTTCATTTCCGTTGTTCATTATTCTCGCATCTACTTTGCAATAGGTATGGTTTCTTTCTAAACAGGCTAGGTAATCTTCCATTTCATATACAGGCGGCAAAAGTTTATATTTATCTGAAATATGGAAATAGTCATAAATAGACGCATATATTCTTAGTATTTAAATATCTATTCCATTTTCAAGTAGGTCACCTGAAGAAGTAACATATACATTAACCATTTTATGATGGGCGAATTTTGTGTTTATCTTTGTCCAAAGTTGTTAGGAATAAAAAATAAAATCGTGGATGAGAATAATAGTAGACAATAAATAAAAATAGTATTACTATTATTTTGTTATGAAATATTATTATAAGATTTCAGTATGTGTCATACAAAAAAAATGAATATTGGTTTCTCTCCATAATAATAATTAAAGGTGAAGACAAAAGTTGTAGGAAATGTATCATAGAAATATACAGGTTGTCCCAGAATAACGTGTACAACGGAGGACCACAGATTCGTGGACTCAAAGTAGGCGGATTTAGGCTAATTCACGTATATCCGAAATCGCTTCGTTTGGCCGCTAGATGGCTTCAAAGTTCGTGAAAATTTTTTGAATTTTGTAAATAACTCGAATACGTATTAATCGATTTTGATTATTTTTGGGGTGTGAACTTTTGCTTTCAATCTATACACATTTTGATGTTATACAGAGGGCTTTTTAAAACTTACAACTCCTACAAAATTGATGTATGGTGATAATATCCGTTCATAACGTTTTCCTCTTTCGGGCAATAATGACAACTATTTTTTATTTGATAGTTGATACCATTTGGAAGTTTTTGGGCCTCTTATAGAATTTTGATTAAATGAAGTGTTAGTAGTCACTGATTTTGGAGGTTGACTGTAATTTCAGTCTGATCTTTAACTCATTGTACCTGACAATTCTTAGTGAGTATTTACGACGATGAGATATACCACATATTACTTCATTTTTCGATATGGATACACACACATACGACGAATTAGAATTATTTACAACATGCCTAATTTTATTAAAAAAATTTGAAAAAACTATTAAATACAACGCATTGATAGCATTATTATTGACCCTGTTATTCTACCCAATAGACTGAATGGCGAATTTTATTTAGAATTTTTGCAAAACACTTTATCCGAGTTATTGGAAGGTGTGCCGTTATTGCTCAAAGCTAACATGTGGTTTATGATGGAGCTCCACCACATTTCACTGTAAATATCCTGCAGTATCTGAACCAAAGATTTCCTCGTCGATGGATCGGTAGAGGGGATAATGTTCTTGTTAACTGGCCTGTTCGTTCACCAGACTTAACACCTTGTGACTATTATCTTTGGGGTACTGAAAACAACAGTGTATGCTTCCACATCTAACACTGAAGAAGAGTTGTGGAGGCATATCCAAATTGCCATAAATGTTTTAGAAAATTGCCCTCAAGAACTGCAAAGGGTTTCTTTTAACTTTTTTCGCCGAATTAACCTTTGTTGTAGAAAAAACGGTGGTCATTTTGAACAGTTTCTATAATAAGTTGTACTAAATCTAAGAACACCAACTGTGTTACTTTTATCTCCAGCATTTTTTATTGTATTTGATTGTTTTTACTAATTATCTCAATAAAATTAGGCATGTTGTAAATAATTCGTCGAATGTGTGTGTATATCTATATCGAAGTAACATGTGGTATATCTTATCGTAGTAAACACTGATTAAGAATTGGCAAGTACAATGACTTAAATATGAAACTGAAATTACACTCAACCTACAAAATCAGTGCCTACTAGTACTGTTAAGATAATGTAGACATTCAAAAAATATTTTTTTGTACCCAAACCGCTCATTTAATCAAAATTCTATAAGAGGACCAAAAACTTCCATATGGAAGTTTCCAATCAAATAAAAAATAGTTGGCATTATTGCCCGTAAAAGGGAAAAGTTATGAACGGATATTATCACCATACATTAATTTTGTAGGAGTTGTAAGTTTTAAAAAACACTCGGTATAACACCAAAATGCGTAGATTGAAAGCAAAAGTCCACACCCCCAAAAATAATCGAAATTGAATAATACGTATTCGAGTTATTTACAAAATTCAAAAAATTTTCACGAATTTTGAGGTCATCTAGCGGCCAAACGAAGCCATTTCGGATATAGGTGAATTAGCCTAAATCTGCCTATTTTCAGTCCACGAATCTGTGGTCTTCCGTTGTACGCGTTATTCTGGGACACCCTGTATAGTGTGTGTTATTATTATTCTTGTGTTTTCGTTTTCAAGTTTTTGTGTGATAATTATGAAGAAGCATATAAAAAATCAAGAAAGGGTTGATACGATTAGAGCCTACCTTTTGTCCGGAGAAAACGATTCTACTGCAAGAAGACAATATCAAATGGATTATCCCGACCGTCAAGTACGAATAAGCAAATTGTTGTAAAATTGCTTCAATATTTAAGAGATTAAAGGAGCTTTGAACGCTAATGTTGGACGGGAACAAACTCAGAGTTTGAGAAATTAGGAATTAGAAATTTTAAACGTAGCTTAAGAGGGTTCCACTAGCACTCGAAGATTAGATACAAAATTACAAATGCCACGCTATAAAAATTAGGTGAGTGAACATATCATTTATTTATTTTTGTGTAATTCATTTATCATTATTGATAACTGCTATGTTGGAAATGTACTAACCTTTCCTTTAAATTATGAGATTTGATAATAATGCCTAGTCTAGTTCCCAACTGTGTGTGAGCTGAGACTAACATGTGCCGTGCCGTTGGTTGAGGTTACATTATTTTGTTCAGCGGTGGGATATGAAAATTACTAATAAGGGTTAAAAAACAAGAGTTCACAAAGGAGTTTCAAAAATAAACTATTGATACGAGTTTCTAGTCTCTGGTAATGTTTCATATGTTAATATTGTCATTATGTTTATTTGTTTTTAATTTTAAAATTACGCTTTGACATGATATATTAAAGTTAAGGTATTATTTATATTAAAATCATTTTCCAACAAGAAGTTATAGAGGAATATATGTCTGCTATTAATTGTAAAACAGAAATTCGTGATTAATTTTTAATCGATCCCAACGAGTTGATTAACAAAGTTCGTTTATTAAAATTTGCAGTTAATTATTTTTTGTTTATCAGTATAATTACATATGAGTTTCACGGTGAAATTTCCATCGCAGGTTTTTGCGAACTGTTTCAAATTATTTTAATAAAACTAGGTTGTAATCAGGCTTTAATCAATTTGGGTTAAATTAGTGATTTTATTTGTGATGTAGAATTTATTATCAAAAGGTTCCAATATGATAAAGTCATAAACATATTAAGTGAAATAGGTGTATATTTAATGAAGGTAACAAAGGAAAACGTATACCGGGTGTTCTCGGTCTCGTATCCTGGCAACGGAAAGAGATATTTTGATTTTGAACGGATCAGATGATAAAGCTCATCGATGGCTTCGTCAAGGATTGCAACTTGATTTTTTTCAGAGCAAATTGGAGATGGCGCTGAAGGTGTGAAAATGCAAATGTCGGTGCGGTAATATGCATTTACTTAAAATGAAAATAAGAAACAAAAATGTGGGATGTATTTGAAAATTGCTTCATTACAATGTAATTATGTATATGGCCCAAGGTTTGCATGGTTACCAAACGATGGTAAACTGCATCAGGCCCAATATTAATGTACCACATGATGGAATTGAAATTTTGGAGAGCCATCGACGACACTCCATCAAATTAAAAAATAAATTGACAATATACGGAACCGCCACCGGAACAGGTCCACTAATTTCCACTTTTGCGTGGAACGGTTGCAATTAAATTCCAAAAATTACTTCATGTGTCGTTCAAATATAATTCCGGTTTAATTAAACTTTTCAGTAGGTGCCCGCGAATACAATTTTAATTAGCAAACATTTCGCTGCAATTAAGTAAATCAAGTGACGTGAAAAACACGCATTTTTGGCGCTGTTTCAATGCATTTGCAATTTCGGCCGTTTGCCAAACGCACCGGAAACTCCGGAGCGCAGTAATTTTATTGCTACTCTAAAATAACTCCACCGGTTCTCATTTAAAAATTATTTTAAACTGGAGTTCATCTGCGAAAGTGCATTTCTGTTATCCATAAACATCCACGACAAAAAACTTGCAAAAATCATTCCTTTCTTTCCAACATTTCCAACGTAATTTCACGTTATTTTTTAAGAAGAGTATGAGTAGAATATAAAAGCAAATATTTCACTGTAATAATCTAATTTGACACTATATTAATCTCTGAAAAAGCTTGAAATAAGGCTATAAAAGGAGTTTTCCAAGTATTTCAAATACTGTTAATTTAATTTCAGGAATTTCAACATCGTATACGAGTTGTTACAAGTGACTCCATAAATAACAGTCGAAGATGTTGAGATTGGGACATCTTGGTGGTTACAGTATTAGGCGCCCCTTTAACATGAAAATTTTTTTGGAACATCAATCTCAATTATTTGAGCATCGTAGTTCTTCTATGATTCAAGTTGGTAGGTCTCACTTATACATGACGCGCGCACAGGTTTAAAGGAAAACTGTGTTTCGTAACAGTCCGTTACTACTTATTGATAGCCAGCCAGTTCACTTTGTGACCGAACCAATCACGCTGTGGGTACACTTCTACAGAATCACTAGAAGGCGTCTTCAGTCAGTCGGATGGACAACCTGGAATCAATATTGACAGCTCTCGGCCAGATTTGACTAGAGAACGACCTCAACTGGAATTGAGGTTTTCAACTGACGGAGACTTACTAGTAAACCCGGTTAGTAGCGCCGGAGGGTCCCCCGGCGCCTCAGCGACGATCAGGCGTGCATACGAAGTCGCGCAGGTGCGCCGGCGAGAACATGGCGCCCACCTTAGTGGCCTGAACTACGACCCAGAGACTACGAGTCATCACACTCCCCGAGCTGATGTAAACGGGCAGAATAATTTATTGGATGAGTTGATAGGAAATGAAGATAGAACACCTGTACTGGGCTGCAGGCTAAATCAAGCTCAGTGGCGCTCAACAAATCAAATTCAAATGAATGAAGACAGACTTGTAGATATGTTAAGCAAGGCTATAGAAAAAGTGGTACAAGTTGCTGGTAGGCCACAGAAGGAAGAGAGTACTAGAGTAGTAGCTAAAGAATTTGAACCTAATTATGCTGGGTCTGACTATGAAAACCCGGGAAAGTTTTTGGGAGAAATTCAAGATATTTGTTTACATGAAAAAATTATGGAAAAGAATTGGACAAGATATGCGGTGAGTCGGCTAACAGGAGAAGCTGAAAAATGGTACGAACAATACAAATACTTCGAATGGAGTTTTCAAGAATTTTCAAAGAATTTGTTAAATCGATTCGATAATGCATATCTCAGGCTAAATCTACAACGAGATTTGTTCTGTAGAACTCAGACAGATCGAGAGGAAGTGGTAGGATTCATTGCAAGAAAAATGGCGTTGTACAGAAGATTGAATTTGGGAATGGATCCTAGGACACTTGTGCCGCAAATACGGGTATTGCTCAGGCCAGATATTCAGTTGCATTTAGTGGGAGTGAGAATTGCTAGTATAGAAGATTTATCCACCACGGCGCAGGAAATAGAAACTCAGTTAAGGTTTACTCAGGAAGATAGAGGAGGATTGAGGCCGATATCAGGACAAGAAGTTGTGCCTTATGGAAATCGATCCAGGACGACACAGTTTACATGTCGTTGGTGTGGAGGAGGTCATATGAACCGAGATTGTCCTAGACGTGCCTTACCTGGTCCTAATCCAAATGAAGGTAGAAGGTCTGCAGTAGAATCTACGGACAGAAATCAAGGTAATAATAATCGAGCATTTCCTGGAGGCCCTCCTCCGGAAAATCTAAGAAGATCGGAAAACTAGAAGTGGCTCTCTGCCTTGGGGTCGGCAGTGGGCGAATGACCATAGACTCCGCTCAAGAATTGACAACGAGATGTGATTTACCCAAAGTATTGGTGAAGTATGTAGATTATAAATTAACCGCATTAATTGATACTGGGGCTACAAATTCTTTTCTCCGGACAGAATTATACAAAGAAGAAATCCCAGAAAATNCTCAATGAAATTTAGCTGTGTATACCAAATTTCATTCATTTATCACAACGCGATTGAGAGATATTGCAAAAAAATGATTTCCATTCCTCCCTCTTCAATGGGTCCCTGTGCCCTTAGGAAGCATTTCCGGACCCATGTTCATATGAACTTTTTTACTTAGTTTTGATCATAGAATTGGCCTGTTCAGGCTTGGCAGCTAATTATGAGACACCCTGTATTGTAAAAAGCGTTTTATAATCTCATCATGTTCTAGACATTCTTTTAAATAAAACGTATATATTGTAGTCAGAAAAATAAGAGGAATCGAAAAAATAACAAACATAGAGGGTGGTATATTTAAAGAAACTATCCATATTTCTCGTGTAGTTTGTGAATTATTACATACCAACTTTCCGGAAAGGTGGATCGGACGAAATGGCCCTGTACGTTGGCCAGCACGAAGTCCGGATATGAACCCTCTGGACTTTTTTCTTTGGTGGTGTATGAAACAAAATGTGTACCGAACGCCTCTTGTTGATGCAGCAGATCTTCAACAGCGCATATTTACTGCAGCTAATGAAATTCGACAAATACCGGGAATATTTGCACGTACGCCACTAATTTTAACCGTCGCGCGTTAAAATTAAAAAAAATTAAAAATTAAAAATTAAAAAAAAAATTTAAATTAAATCGTTTGGAAGCATGGAAACAACTTTGAATAATTTTTGCACAACATATCGTCTATTAGTAAATAATTCGTTTAATATTTGTGTTACTTTTAAACGAGATTTGAAAAAATTTCAGCAATTTCGAACACAAAGCAACTTCGATATCAAAGGTACAGCTGCTGGCGCACCAGGGACCGCTTTAAAATTGTTTAAACCTTTATGTGATTTTTTTTTTATTTTAAAACGTAATGTTTTAGACCATTAGTTGCTTAATAAAAGTTGCTCATTTTCGTGCCCTTTATCATCCGTTTCAAGGAACCCACTTATTTCAGAAACACCCTGTATAGAGAAATAACTAAATATCTTACCTGAGTATACAAGTGTGAAGTATAAAAAGATAATAAAGGTAAATAACATGGTATCCATTGCGAATACTATAATATTCTCAGTTCTGAAACAATAAGGAATATTAATTGATAATACATACAGGGTGTCCCAGTGTCAGCGTACAAAAATTTACCAGGAGGTAGACCGGACCAAAATAAGATTAAAATTATTATAAAATATTTTTCTGCCATGCACTCTCACGGAGTTACAGGGTGTTGTTTAGAAAAAAATAATAACAACTTTCCGCAATAACTCAAAAACCCTTCCAGGGAATTAAGTAATTTTTGGGTGAAGTATACATCTATTAAAGGTCATTAAAACTACAAAGTGATAATTTTGATCTGATGCCAGGGGCGGCCTAGGCCAACTTGTCCTCAAGGTTATGTCTTCATAACTTTTGCATATCCTAGTTTTATGTAGTTTGATTACATTTTCCTGACTCTGCAATCGATTTTGAACAAAAAATGTGCCCTTGTTTCATAGCTCAAAAATGAACCGTTTTCGAGTAAATTGGGTCTAAGTTATCGACTGCATTAGTTCGTAGAAAAATGCATGTGAAGATTTTATTTCTTGTTATCTAGTAGGTACCTGTCATTATAAAAAACAAAGTTGTTTACAAGCGTATATGTNATTTTTTTGCCATTTCTGCCTTGCCTACGTAGTCTTTGGATGAAAAATTTTATATTTACTAACCAGATGACTTTTTAGGAAGTTTGGAAGAAACTTTTCTTATTCTTTTCTCGAACGGGGCCTATTCTTTTTTGAAAAACATTCTCATCATATTTTTATATACAGAGTGTTTAACAATTAAAGTACAGGGTGTTTAAAAAAATGTTATATCTACTAACCAGCGAGGAAAGCACCGCGGAGCGCCGAAGGCCCGAGAGAAAGGCCAAACTCCGCGTTAGCGGAGGTTGCCTGCCTTTCTAGTCCATATACAGGGTGTCCCAGTGTCAGCGTACAAAAATTTACCAGGGGGTAGACCGGACCAAAATAAGATTAAAATTCTTATAAAATAGTTTTCTGCCATGCACTCTCACGGAGTTACAGGGTGTTGTTTAGAAAAAAAATAATAACTTTCCGCAATAACTCAAAAACCCTTCCAGGGAATTAAGTAATTTTTGGGCGAAGCGTACATCTATTAAAGGTGATTAAAACTACATGGTGATTATTTTGATCTGATGCCAGGGGCGGCCTAGGCCAACTTGTCCTCAAGGTTATGTCTTTATAACTTTAGCATATCCTAGTTTTATGTAATTTGATTACGTTTTCCTGAATCTGCAATCGATTCTGAACAAAAAATGTGCTCTTGTTTCATAGCTCAAAAATTAACCGTTTTCGAGTAAATTGGGTCTAAGTTATCGACTGCATTAGTTCGTAGAAAAATGCATGTGAAGATTTTATTTCTTGTTATCTAGTAGGTACCTGTCATTATAAAAAACAAAGTTGTTTACAAGCGTATATGTCAAAATTAATTACAGTACTCGAAGTTACTATTAAGTTTACAAACCAACAAGACTATGAAATTATTATGAAATTTCCTTCCCAGCACGTATTCCAACGAGTTTTACAAAGAGTCCTTGAGACAGGGAATGTTAAAATTGGAAATACAGAATGCTGCTGTTATTGATGATCCTTCCACCAGTGCCCGAAGAATATCAACGCAAGTAGGTATTCCACGAAGCAGCGTCTGGAGAATTTTAAACCGAGAAGAACTGCACTCATACCATCTACATAAAGTCCAAATTTTGCATCCTGGTGATTCCGAATAAAGGTTACAATTTTGCAGGTGGTTGTTAGAAAATATCGATAATGGCGAAAATTGAATGATGAAACTATCTTTTCGAAAAATGCTATAAATAATTTAAAAAAATTTCACATCTGATTCATTGAAAATCCGCATGTGATACGACCCTCCGCGTTTCAAAGAAGATTCTCCATAAATGTCTGGGGAGGAATCTTCAACGGAGTCATTCTGCCACCTCAAATTATTTTAGACCGTTTGAATTCAGAGAGATACACGGATTTTTTAGAAAATATTGTTGATGGTGTACTAGATGTTGTTCAATTATCTTTGAGAAATCAAGTGTACTACCAACAACATGGCGCATCTACTCGTAACAGAAGACAGGTATCGGAGTGGTTCGATTTACATTTTACAGCACGCTGAATTCGGAAAAATGGACCTATTATGTGGCCTCCCAGATTCCCTGACCTCAACCCATTTGTTTATTTTTACTATGGTCATATGAAGCAACTGGTGTATGCCAAACTCAGAAACACGAGAGACGATTTACTTCAAAAAATTAATGCAGCCGCCGAGCAAATTCAAGCAACCGTTGATTTGCGAAGGGTTTACAATTCCTTGGTCAAGCGATGTCGGGCATGCATTGACGTAAATGGGCAGCATTTCGAGCATTTATTGAAATAATTATTTTCTATTTTTATTATTAATATTGTTATTTTGCTAACATAATTTCGTTTCTGTTACATAATTTTCAATTTTATTTTCAGTTCCCCTATACGTAACCAAATATTAAATAATTCATAAAAAACTTGTTTAGTTTCTTCATATTCATTGGAAACTGTACCTCAACGGTAAACAAGTTTGTTTTTTATAATGACAGGTATCTACTAGATAACAAGAAATAAAATCTTTACATGCATTTTTTTACGAACTAATGCAGTCGATACTTTAGACCCAATTTACTCGAAGACGGTTCATTTTTGAGCTATGAAAGCGTAATTCAATTACATAAAACTAGGATATGCAAAAGTTATGAAGACATAACTTTGAGGACAAGTTGGCCTAGGCCGCTCCTGGCGTCAGATCGAAATGAACACCATGCAGTTTTAATGACCTTTAATAGATATACACTTCACCCAAAAATTACTTTTTTTTGAGTTATTGCGGAAATTTGTTATTATTTTTTTCTAAACAACACCCTGTAACTCCGTGAGAGTACATGGCAGAAAAATATTTTATAAGAATTTTAATCTTATTTTGGCCTGGTCTACCCCCTGGTAAATTTTTGTATGCCGACACTGGGACACCCTGTATTTTAGTTCACGATTTTTTTGGAGATATTTGTTAGTGTGAAGGATTTGTAGTAACGTGAACTTGCTTATTAATGAAAAATATTTTTGATGAAAATTAAGAAAAAACTTAAACTTTCTTTATTGTTTAATTTGTGCCCTAATATTTTTAGTACATTTGTAATTGGTTAGATTTCTATCTCAGACAAATAACGCTCATGTTAATTTTAATGATTATTATCTCACAATTTAATATTTAAACCCAATTTGTTTTCTAGAATTATAATTTGTTTATTAAAGTCCTAAATCGTATTAATGTGAATGACTATTAAGTAAAAAAGTCCATGTTTTGCAGTTGGATCTTATTAGAACAGTGGATTTTAGTAAGGTTCATTAATAATCATAATAATGTTAATTGACATATTATAAACTTTCAGTAATTTAGTATAGCCCAAGTAGAGAACAATAAACTTTATGTAAAAACTAAATCTAAATTATGTTACCAGTCAAAAATTTTCAAATCTAATGATAATGTTGAATGTAAATAAATATTAGCAAAATCGTAAAAATCTGCGACGAATTTCACGTCGATAGTTTTAAAATGCATTGGCAATTCTCAGAAAAATCAAAATCATTATATTTTGCTTATGGTCTCTATTAAAGCTCTATTTTGAGAATAAAAATCTCAATGTATGTATTACTTTTTTTTTGAATATTTGTTTTAGTATAGAAAAATTTGAACTTTATTTACTTTGTTTTTGCTTAAGGAGGTTTATCGGATACGGGGGTACGTCTAAAATCTAACGAGAGTTTCTGTAGATTCGCTAACGTGGTAAGCCTTTAGATTTGGGAACGTTACACTTGGCTGGCGCGCTCGGTTCGGCGTTCGCTCGCTAGCGTTCGATCATTCTGTTTGTTTGGATGCCTAAGCTTGAAATACAGGGTGATTCACAACTTATCCAAAATAATTTGGGAATAGATGCTGCATGAGAAATAGAGTCAATATGATAAAAAAATTTTTGTAAAATCCTTAGTTTCCGAGAAAATAATTATAGTACATTCAACCACTCCATATCTGGACAACTGTAATCTCTAGCGTCATTCGCAATACGCATGGAGAGGTACGTGGCCTAAGCGACTCCGAATACTGAAATCCGATTTTGCAATCGTCGTTGCGTTTGTGTTTATCTGTTATCTGTGGGGTTTACAATAGTTTTTTAGTAATTAGTGTTTAAAATGGTTTGCGTGTATAGCAACTCGGAGTTGATGGATATCGTTTTAATTTATGGTGAAGCATTTGTGTTACGGTGAAGCAAGACAACATTTTTGTGTTAGTTCGTAGGAACTGAGTAAGAAGGACCCAAATGTGTTTTCACTTTGGTGGATAAAATTTTGAACAATTGTTGTTGTAACATCGGGTATGTCAATTGATTTTATTATTTAAAAACACCAATTAATTTTATTAATTAATAAACGCAAATGCAGTTGAATTTGCCGATATAAAATAGGTGCTATAAATGTAAGTAAGTTTTTGTCCGTTTTTATCACACCGCCATGCATTGTGCGAGGTCAGGTTTTACAGTGGACCAGTTTCCAGTGCCGCGCAGAAGTATATTTTAAAATCATTTTCGAACTGCCCTTTTTGATTTTTCCTTTACAAAATTGTATTTGTAAGGGTCCCCTGTACATCCAGATTTTTTTTGGATAAGTTCTGAATCACCCTGTATACATCATGTCACAACTGGGAATTTCAAATAAGACGCCACATCGAGAACCGCGGCGTTGCCGCTATCACGCATATGGAGGTTAAGTTAGTCAAGGACAGCAGTTTGAAGGAGTGTGTATCTTACAAGTACCTAATCGATTTCTACGAGCTGTCATACGGTTCCTTAGATATCGGTTTCCTATTTATACAAGTTGCTGTGAAAACTGTTCGTCAATTGTTGCGCATTCTAAGTGGAAAGACCAAAAAAATCTGCATTCTCATAAGACTGTACTAAATCGTGAAAAATTATTTTATTAATATCTCGTCTCTTATGTATCCAAACTAGTCATAATTTTTTTTGAGGATTGCCTTCATATTACTAAGCTTATATTAATTTTTTTTATGAATATTTGTTTGTCAATTCCAAATCAGATAAACCTCCTTAATATCTCTAGCAACCTCTTACTCAGAAGCGAATTCTCGCACAAACAAAACTATAACTATTGTTGAATTTAATTTTCACGTTCTTGAATTAATTTTAAATAATTGTTTTATTTCTGATATTTACTTATTTAAATTGCAAAACTATTTTTATATTTATAATTTAGCTAAAAAAAGAACTATATTAATTTTTTACAGTTATACTGTTTAGTAAGTTTTTAGTTTGGTTCTTTCCAAGCTTGTTTGTGCCACCCAATATCTTGATTTGCCGGATATATAACCGCCCAGTAGATTCTTCTCTAATTCCATACTGAGGAGACGATGACCAAATCTTCGTACAGAATGTATGAACTATCTTCTTTTAAAAATTTTAAATTCTCGTCTGACGTTGGAGATATGTAATATTTTTTACAGTTTTTTTCTTGGTAACTTTCTTGATTTGTTTAAACTTGAGTTTCATCTCATTTGGGTTGTACTTACTTAATGGATACCTTCAAGTAAAACTTGTTTGTTTATTATTTTAATACCTGATTCACTTCACTTTGCTAAGGTACTTTAATGTCTGTTTTTAATTTTCTTTTACAGTTCGATCAAGTTGACTTTATTTTTTGTTTCAGAACACTATTTGTTATTACATGGCTTAAACTCGACACACTCTGGGAATTTCTGGCAGTTTTTAAATAGATTTATCCCAAACAAATGACCATCAAGGGCCTTTCTAGAAATTTTCTAGAATTACATGTTGCGTGAAAACTTTTAGTTTAATTACTGGTTTCCACTTATAGATTAAAATTATAAATATACTTGAATGTCGACTACATGTCTTGCTATTTTGTCTCTTTTTATTCCTTTTTTTTGCTTGTTATTTTTTTCACTGTGATTAGAAAAAAATAATAATTTTTAACGTTTAGGCAGCGATCGTGTCAAAGTTAATTGGTTAGTTATCAACGATACAGAAAATACCTTCAAAATATAAATAATAAAGCGTTACCAGCAGCGCAGCCAATTTATTTTCACAATTAATAGTGCCAATGCTGTCACTTTGCATGGCACGGTGTTGCTAGCTGTGATGTTTAAGTCAACAGTCAACATATAAGTTTTAATGCCCAATAATCAGATGTCAAATACTATACTTCGACCTTTCATCCCTTGAATTCAATTAAATCTATGGTGTATAAAAGCCGTATGTTTATGCTTATGCGCATTACAACTTGTTTTAATTTTGCTGCAAATTTCGAAGGATAATAATATAGAAGGATAGTTATAATAAATTCTTTTATGTACATATTGTTTCTCATAAAAATTAAATTTTGAAAATTACTTTCTAGAGGGGTGTCCTGACGTTAGGGACAAAACACAAACTGATTCGGTTTCAGGGGATCAAAGTACTGTAGCGGATTTAGAACAAACAAAAACCTGACTTAATATCAGAGCGGGCCTAGGGGTTCTAATAGCGAGTCCGCCTCATAGAGCCTAGACCGAGAACAGCAAGGCTAGGTCAAAGATTCCTAGCATAGGCTAAGGAAGTGCAATGTAATTCTGTAACTGATGGCGACCAGGTCACGCCATAATTTGAAAAAACATTTTGCTTTAAAAATAAGGGGAAAATAACTGAGATTTGCAGGGAAAATATCCCCTAAACCAGGGGTCGGCAAGTAATTTTAGGTGGGGTCCGGATACTTTTGAAAATTTTTAACGAGGTCCAGAAAAAAATTCATATTTCTTATTTTTTTATTTTAATTTGGACTCAAATTTAATTTGCTTACTAACCATTAAGAACTCACACACTCACACAATTGTAAAATACTAGAAAAAATGATAAGGTTGACACTTAAAAGTAAAAGACATTTTTTAAATAATTTATTTGAGTAATTTATACTTTCAAAAAATTTTTGGCGGTCCAGTATTTTACCTTCTGCGGTCCGGACCTGGACCGCGGTCCGCCAGTTGCCGACTCTTGCCCTAAACAGTAGAAAACTGCTATGGAAAATGTTTGAAAGTGATGTAATAAACACAGAGAGTAAAATGGAGATATGATAGAAAAATCAAAATTTTGAGGATTATAGCTGTCTTTTTATGTATGATGTCAAGCTTAATTCAATAAAATTAAAAATTATTATTTAATTTCGATCTGAACAGTTAAAACTCCACCTTAAAAAAACAATGAATTAAACCGGACCATAAATGCCTTATTTTTTGATAAGAGTATTACTTTGTTCCTGAATTATTTGCTATTGAGGTAGTGTTGATGTAGATTTCTGGATATCTTTGAACAAATCAATTAAATAGTATCTAATGTGAAAAAATTAGATCAAACCAGTAACGTAAATATGGAGTTTGCTGCTTACAAAATGATGCTTTTAGATAAATTTAGAATTATGCGTTACAAAAAAACATGTCGCTAAATAAAGGAGCATTCTGCTTGTTCAACTAGGCAGTTCAAAAGTTAGATCACTGCTGTGTGACTCCCATTCATATTTCTATGAAAAAGGATCTCTTTCACGAGTAATTTTCGAATTATTACGATCCTTACCAAATTACTGTAGAACCATTCATTTCGCAAAAAAAAAGTTTGTACGATTTTTTCCTAATAATAGAAGAGCTTGTTTTTTTCAGAGCTGTGGTGTGATTTTCCATGTATTTAAGATTCTTAAAAAGATGTAAGAATATTATTAGGATTTACAAGTAGTGAACGAATTTTTAGAATATCCAGTAGCACCGAATTTCTGTGGTCTAGTCATACTGACTACCAAGTCAGTGTGTTTCTTACTATCGGTTAGTCAAATTATTGGTTCAAGTTTAATCATTTTACGTTTGACGCCTTTGGAAATATTTGAATAGATTGAAATTCTAAATTCGTCTAATTAATCCTGAAATAACCTATATATAAGTTTATAAGATGTGTGTATTTGTAGTGCACAGACGCCTTAAAAATATAATAAAAACATATTTATATCAGTGGCGGCTCGTGACATTGAGAATAGGTGAAGCAGATTCATTGATTGACTAAAAAGAAAAAAAGAAGGGCCGCTGGCGCTGGCGAAAATTTTCAAATTTTCAAGGTCAAACGGCTTTAAAGGATATTTTTAGTTGCATTTGCAATATTACCAAAAAACTGACGTTCGTGAGAAGGATTTTCATTTAGATTATACAAAAAATAGAAATATTAGTTCGGCTTGTGGACTTCTGCGAACATTAACGCACACCGTACATGTATGTTCCAAAAAAGCTTTGTGGCTATGATGTTCCCAAAATTGTTAAATCCCTTCTTATTCCATACGCCCGACTTTACAACACCATATAGCATATAGAAAAGTTTTTTTAAATGAACACTTCCACACAGCCACTTATACTCCGAGTACCATTCATTCCGAATATTTCGAACGTACACGTTGTCTTTTGACTTCCCCTTTATTTCATATCGGGGGAATAAGGCACAGGTCTCTCGCAATTTAGAAAATCCTTTTTGTCCTCAATTTTCCATCTGGAAAATGTTTCCAATAAAATACATACTCGATCATACATAGGAAACATTTCTACAATTATTATACAAAACTAATATTAACTAAGAACCGTTATAATCGTGCACTGGGCGACGCGTATCGTATAAACTGTTAAAAGATTAAAGGTAGGCGATGGGCGATGCTGCTTCAATTTCTGCGTCACTCGTTCCCCCACGCCGTAGTTTAATCCCGCGTTGGCCGCCTCGTTGCCATGACGACCGCCATAAATAACGCTACGAAGAGAAGCAGAATACAGACTGATTTCAATCTGCGTCACTTGCGTCGTATACTATACGCTGTATGGTACGAGGTTGATGTTTGCACTCAACGAAGGTAATGTTTTTTTTAGAAGGTGTTCACCGCGCAACTATTCTGCTTATTTCTGCGTATTAAACAAACAAACACAATACATTTTCAATACAGAATTATACCTAAATTATAAAATTTATATAAAATTAAAAATAATTTTAAATTGTACAACCAAACGGAAATTTTAGGTGAAGCGGTGCATCACTTGCGTCACCTGATTGCGCCTCTGATTTATATTCTATTTTATTCTCCACATATTTTTATGACCATTTGGTTTAATATATGTTTTTTAACTTACTTAATAAATATTTTTAAAACTATTCTATTTAACATTCATCCAATTATTCATAATAAAATTATATGTATATAAAAACTGTTTAGTTCGAGGAAGGAATATTTTATGACTTACATTCATTTGGACTTGTATCGCTCCCTGGATTTAATAATTGTTACTGTCTCGTCCAAGATAGAACTGACTGTGTCAACTTACCTGTAATAGATGTTCTAAATACATATGTTCCACCGTTAAAACTACAACTGGTATTATCAACTGACATATTCCGACTTAGGTAAACACTACAAGGTCAGTAGGGTTGTTGAGTTGTAGTTACATGTTATCAGATCGTGTAATATTTAGGTACACGAAATAAAATAGGATATACGGGAGTCCAAAGCGAAGTGGGCACCATACCAGTAATATTTAGATATCACCAGAAATATAGAGCAAACATTGAAACCGGTCAGTTTTTCTTCTGAAGATGTACTATTATGTTTTTTTGGACGCCTTTATTTTTTTATATGTAGTTGTTTTGTTATGATTGATTATGAGACTCTCTCCTTTGTTTTGTTTTATTTTTATATTTTGATTTAAAATTTGATGTATTGAATTTCTACTCTAAATTCTTTAAATGAAAGATGTATTTAAAATAACAAAATATCAATATATTACTAGATTTAGCAGGTTATGGGTTTTGTTACAATGTACAATCCTTAAACTAGATGAATGAACAATAATTTCCCCCCCTAATTTCTACTATAACAGTGCATAAATGTGTTTATACTGTCAGTAGTTGAATTGGTTAAAATCGTGCATTAGTTACATATAAATATGCAGTGAGAATTTTAATGTAAAGATTTATATAGCGCTTAGTGTTTCAAATTTGCAAATTTGTTTAATAAATGTCGACACTTACGATGACAGATTTCTTGGTTGTTAAATCCGCATGTAACCACGCTGTAATGCGAAATCTCCTATACGTAGTCGCGCTGGTCTGACGTTGTCTCGTTGAACTGACGTCTCGCCGCGAAGATTGCCGAAGTTTCCTTTATGTTGCTGTTACAGGAATTCCTCCAGATGAACATACACTGCACTATATTTTTTTATATATTCCACTTGTCACTTTTTTATTTATGCAAATTCACCTTGTTTCAATTTGTTGTTTTACCAATTGCTTGTGTTGAGATTGTTGAACGATTTTTCGGACTAATGTCACTTCCACTAATGTAACATTCTGACTTTTGAGTGTTGAAATTTATCACGACATTAGATCACCAAGATGGCTGGATAAGTATACGATTTTTACTGACTTGTTGATTTTAACTGATAGCAATTGTTTTTCTAGGAGCAAAAAAACGATGTTACTGCTACAGGCAAACATGGAAGACTGGCTACCTCGAGCCCGGATATTGGGTTTACTAACCGTGGAAGTCAAATAAAAATTACTACAGCAACCATAACCAACATTTTTGAAATTTTATTTGTGCAAATACTGGCTTATTGATTGAATTTGTGATGCATGAAATTTCTATTTTCAGCTTCCTGGCATTTTTCTGCATCTTTTGACACCAATTGAATGTTTCTAGGTTAAATTAAGGTTATGCCAAAATTTTATTTATATTTATAAATTTCAACTTAATTTTGATGAATAGACTAATTCTCAGCATGTCTGTCCTTTCTATGTCTTTAGTACTACCTATTAAACACCTTTTATACAGTCCTTATTCGTTTTTTCAGATGTAAACGTTAGAGTATAACTAACTCTGAGTTAGAGTATAACTCTAACTCAGATGTTAGAGTACTCCGTTCCGATAAGCATTATAAAGTCTACACAACAAATTGACCTTTGGTTGGAGTTTAAACACATTTTATGGAGGGTCTTTTACATTCTGTACTTATGATTTTGCAGTCTTGATGCACTTTTACAACTAACAATTTACAAAATTTTAAAGGAACAACAACTGTCAACATTTATATGCTATAGAAAAGTTTTCACAGATGCATAGGTTTAATTCCACCCATATATTCTGGCTACAGGTACACTATGCTTCGTTTACATACCAGTTTTATTGCATGAATCGGAATTATATGTGAAACACCTTCATCTTATGTCGATGACTTGTCAAAATTTCACAATGATGATTAAATGTGCTCATGCCAGAACTTATAATTGACTTTTAATATTGTAACATTGTTCTTTACTGTTCTTTGTAACATAATTGTACAACATGAGTGCATTTACATAGTTTAATGAATATGTTTAGTTATTAAAAATTTAAATTAAATTAAAAAAAATAATTACATTTAAATTAAAAATATTTAGTTATAACTTTGACAGTCGAAACGTTTTCTCGTGAAAATTTATTAATTACAAATCTTTAACTTATACTATCGATACACATCTTCCATTTAAATCCATTATAGTAATTCACACCCAGTTAGTGACTATTTTAAATAAATTAATATCAAAATTTGTGTTAATTCGACACTTTTGTGTCTCGGTGCCGATAAAAGAATTTAATTTAAAATTTCCAAATTAATAAAACATAACAGTACATACATATATGTAATAATTTCAGAGACGTATCATTGTATTTATGAACTGGATGGCCGTTAATAATTACATGGAATAATAAAAATAATAATAAAAAAATCTAATGACATGTACTGGGAAACCTAGAACCGATTGTTGGCCTCCATTGCAGGAAAATGGAGCGGGAATCTTTATGGCATAGTGATATAAGTATTTATCTTACAACCGCACCTTGGTAAGTGTATAAAGGCATTATTTTTTCTTAACATTTTTATTAAATAAGTTTTCGATATCCGTATCTCCAGTTGATCTAGAGTTAGTGGTCACACTTTCTGTTTAGGATTCTTGATGTTTCGAGGGACATATCTTCTTCAGAAGAAGAAATTCTGAAACTTGAGATTAAGCCCTTTGTTTGATCCTGTGTCGTTTCCAAATTCCAGGTAGTTCTAATTTCATGTCTAGATAAAATTACCTCGATTCTTCTGGATTTCTGTCGTCTCTCTATTGTCTTTACATCTTGTATCTCTCTTTATCATTCGAATACTAATATTGATTAGGTTAATCGCGTGTCCTGTATCTGTCCGTAATTAGATATTCCCAAGTTTTTATTCCTCAAGTAACAGTTTTTACCCTTGCACTGACGTATGTTTCCGTTTGTCCAATGTATAATTTGCAGCATACACACGGAATGCTGTATGCACCGAGGCTTTGGCATAGATGTCCTGATATATTCCACTGATGTCCGGATATATTCCACTGATGTGGTTCAGAAATTCTGTATTATTATATCCTGGAACTATCACCGTTTGTCATTAGATATTGGTGAACATTTTACGTTAGGATATCCTGTATAAGTTAGGATGGAACATTTAAGACGAGTTTGAACTAATAATTAAACAATACACACAAAATAATTTGGGTTAGTTATGGTTGGGTGGGTTATAAAAAATAAGGCACGACATTTTTAGTTCGTTTTCACTAACGTACGGCAGGGTGGGCGAGGGAAAATTACGCCGCCGCGTCGCTAGGATTAATAAATAAAACCGGAATCGGCAATTATCGGCATTCTAACAACAGCAGTAGGTAGGTAGCATATACTTATTATCTATATACTGCCGGCTATAGGCCCCTGGCACGGCAAATAAAACAACCAGCAATAACACATCCTCTTTTTTCACATCTGCGCACGTTCTCGCGCATGACATTTCTTGGTAGGAAATACGTCAAAATGCTGTCAGTAGCGTCGTAGCGTCTATAACCGAGTTTAGTTTATTTCACTTTGCTGTTGCAGTAAAGTCATAGGCGTGCATTTATTGAATTAGTTGTTTGTGAATAGTTGTTTATAATTTGGTGTAGTACTGACATAGTGTGAGACTAACGTTATTTGTTATTTAAGTATAACAATGTATAAGACAATGAGTCATGGTGTTTGTGCAGTGAGAAGTTGTAGAAATCAGAGATATTCTTCAAAGAAAAGTTTCTTTAGATTTCCTGCTGATACAACAAGGTATGTGTAGTGCTAAAATGTGAAAAGATTATAGTTTTTACACCAATTATTAAATTGACATTATAACCTACATATAACATCCTTATCTAAAATGGTTGGTTTATAAAAAAGTATTAGTCCTAACTTAGCCGTAACTTAACCTTAATCTTAGTCCTAAAAAGTTAAATGTACAAAATATAATATATAGAGGTAGGGCAAGGTTAAAAGATTTTTATAAACCAATTCTGTACATTTAACTTTTTAGGACTGAGATTAGGATTAAGTTACGGATTTATATTTATTTTAAAGCGTACAAAAACGCTGATGGTGATATCTTCGGAAATTTGCACAATCCACATGACATGTTTGTAGATTTTATTTCAAATTTGGAAATAATTTTCCAAAAAAATTTTGAAAAAATTATTTTAGAATCTGACATATGTACAAACTTTTTGACCATTTGTAATAATTATGACCATCCTTGTGTAGATTTTCCAAAAACATATGTAATATTGTTATATATTAGGCTAAGATTGTATTATACTCTTAAGGATATAAACAAAAATTTTCAAAATATAAATAAAAACAAATTAATGGCGTCATTTGTGATCATTAAGTATTCATAAATGTACATACTTAATTTATTTAAGTTATGATTTAGTGTTAAGTTCTTTTAAAATGGAATAAAATTTAAGACATTAAAATAAATTTTTTTTTTTAATTTCCCTTTACAAAATAGTAGTTCCAATATATTTATTTATTTATTATTAAAAATCATCAAATAACTTTTCAGCCACACATTACACACATTATCTTTAAATTTCTTGCAATATTTTAAGTGCAATATTTTTTTGTACTTACCTATACTACTATAATTATATATATTGTACGAAAGACACTAGTTGATTTAGTCAAAATATATAAAGTAACAAGTAAATATACGGGTATAATGAGTATATACATTTAACAATCCATTAATATTATAAATTTTATATTACAACTCTGTTGAAGGAAATTCATAACTTATAAATATTTCAAATACAGCCCTGACTTTTCCTACCCAACTGACATTAGCAAGGTCAAATTTAATTTTGCGCGGGAAAGATGTAGTGATATTGCTGGTTGTTTTATTTGCCGTGCCCCTGGTATGGAATTGTCCGGAGAGAAGGAGATACTTTTCTGTCTCTCCCGAGGAATTAGAACCCAATGCGCATGCCCTGCACACAAAATC